GTTTGACTTGGAACCTATTGTAGTTAGATAGGTATAATACAGGTGATGCAAGTGTCACTGGTGGTGATGTGTGAGTGATTGAAATACTGTACAAGGTTAGGCTGACTGGCAGAAGTACTGCATACTATACTTTTAACCTATATGGGTTTTCGTTGCATTGGCATCATGGAATTTAGTATAAAATAGACCATTTAGAAATTACTTTAAAAGGATTTTTTTTTTTTTTCCTCTTGTACATATAATGTTAGGTATAAAACCAGTCATAAAAGGTTAATTGCAGACCATCAGGTTGAACATGTTTGTAAAGGGTAACAGCACTATCTCTACTGTGTATGCTTATGAATGAATCACTTGTAGCAAATCAACTAATCTAGTGACAGTATTTGAGATAGTGAATGCCAAGTTGAGAACAGAAGTGAGAGAGATTTCTGAAAGAGAACATGACATTTTATAGAAAGAAGACATGGATTGTGATTCACTTGATATAGGTCATAAAGTGATATTCTTATGAAAGAAGACATAAATTGAGATTTTCTTAAGAACATGAAACTGACTGGTGCTCAAGTGGAGTGGACCTAACCCACACTGTAAATTTATGTCATTCATCAGTGGCCAACCAACCAGCCAACAGAGTTTCTGAAAGCTATCTATTCATCCCAAGCAGAGACAAATCCAGGATTATCAAAAGGGGGGTCCAAAAAGTTGTGGGTGGGGGAACATGGCATTTTGAAGCCATGTGCACTTGATATTAGGAGATATTCTGAGGTCAATATTAATTAATTTTTACTAACAAAAATGCCTGAGTACATATTGCATTAAAGAAAAATTTTATGAATTTTCTGATGAAAAGGGTGATCTGCACAGGACCCTTCCCCCACCTGGATTTGCCCCTGCAAAAAAATAAAACCTAGACAGAGGCTTCATCACTTAAAATAGACCCATTCAAGGGTGTAAAAAAAAAAGATATGAATTATATAATTGCTGCAGTTTCAATAGGCATCTCCTCTTCACCCAGACAGTGACACTCCTTGAATCCTGAGCCATTTTCCTTGAGAAGTGAGATAGATTTCCCTAAAGAGGATATGAAGTGCAGATGTAACTGAATATGAAGTCTAAAAAAGCATTCTGAAAGATATCATTTAGGTAAATGACATACTGCAGGTGTAATATGAACAGGTGGAAAAAATTAACATGAGTTTTTGAGGTTCATGCTTATAGATTTATAATGAGAAATTAGACAATATACAGTAATTGGTATGTTAAGAAAAACCATTGGGGTCTTGGTAGACCTGTATGGAGTACCTCAATGAACCATTGTCTTGAGATGGTGGTTCATGGTAAAGGTTGAAGGCATAAGCCAGCCTATAGAATAGTGAGAGAGCAACTGTTTGATATAATAAATAAATGGCATGCAGTATACCCTTCCAATACTACATATATACCAGTACATTACGTATACTGTACCTGTACAGTACTGTACGTTGAAATAATTGTTTTGGTAATCAAGTCATTAACAAAACTCTGACCACTTTTTAAGTTTTTAGCAAGTGTTACAATTTATATAAATGAGTTGTGGTTATATTAGATAATCAAAAGGAAAATTTGTTGTTGAATTTGCTGTGAGACCATCAACCACTCAACTGAAGTTAATTTTGATGGTTGCTGAAGACACCAAAAGTGGGCAGAGTAACAATTGACATGAGTAAATCTACAGTAATTAGTCACATTATTTAACTTTACATTTTAGCTTCCCTTTTCATAATAAAATGAGCTTAGTTATATTAGTATGTACTCCTTTGTGTAGATATACTTGAGCTTCATTTTGCCAGTTTGTAGCAAGCTTTTGAATGCCTTTTATAAATATATACAGTGATATCTCCGTTAGCCAGAACAATTGGTGCAGAGCACTTCCGGGAATGAGAGATTTTCAGGTAACGAGACGACTTTCTTAAAGCCGGAAAAAAATTCCCTCATCCCTGGAATTTTCCGGGTAGCGGAAAATTTTTCGCGAAATTTTCCAGAATATGTGCCCCTCAGAATTGTTCCCAAACCTGTAATTTGCCAGAAAATTCCAGCTTTGGGAACGATTTTCTGGGAAAATTTGTTCCAGCTATCGGAGAGTTCCGGGTTTGAGGTATTCCTGCTTAACAAAGATTACTGTGTGTGTGTGTGTGTGCGCATGCGTGTGCGCTTGTGCAGTATTTTCTCGATTTAATGACCTAATTCGAGCCACCCCTTTCTCTTAAATCGGAATTTCCGCTGAATCAAATTTCCGTTATTTTTACTCAATTTAGCGAACCAGTTCACTAAATGAGCGTGATTCCATTAAATTCCGGACCCACTGCTTGACACATGAGGATTGTTTACATCCGCTCAGTCTGAGTCCTGCCGCCACCACGTGTGTGGTTCACTGCCACCTCTCAGTCAACTAACAACTGTGCTTAGCCATCATGTCAAAGTCTCTCAGAAAGGAAGTGGTGTGGGGGAGAAAGTCAAAAGTGTGCTGCTATCAATTGGAAAAAAGTTTGGAAATTATAGAAAAAGTTTAAAACAAACACCGAACCCTCTAGTTTAAGGTATGCCATGAATAATGTTTCTATGTACGGTATATGTCATGTGTCTGAGGTATGAGCGTATTAATGGAATTAATCTATTTAGTGAACTAGTACATTAAATCGAGTGAAAAATAACAGAAAAATTCTTTCTGCTAAATCAAGAGTTCATTATATCGGATTCTGTCAAATTGAGAGTATACCGTATCTCAGTTAGCCGGAACATTTGGTGCAGAGCACTTCCGGGAATGCCAGATTTCTGGGTAACGAGACTACCTCTCAAAGCCGAAAAGAAAATCCCTCGTCTCCAGAATTTTCCAGGTAACGGAAAAAATTTTCTGGAAGTTCCAGAAATTGCATATTACATTATCTCTCGAACGCAGAAAAATAACCCCCATCTCCAGAATTTTCTGAATGCCGTTAAAATTTTCTCAGAATTTCTGGAAAATGCGTCCAATTTTCATATCTCAAACCCAGAAGAAACCCCCATCCCTTGAGTTATCAGCGCACGGGGGAAATTTTTCTCAGAATTTTCCGAGAAAATTTCAATTCCAGCTATAGGAGAGTTCTGGTTAAGAGGGATTCTGGCTAATGGAGATACTACTTGTATGTACAGTATATATATATACCGGTATATATACAGTGTGTGTGTATATATATATATATATATATATATATATATATATATATATATATATATATATATATATATATATATATATATATATATATATATATATATATATATATATATATATATACAGTACTCCCTCTTTATCGACGGGGGTTACGTTCTGTAAACGGCAGTCGATAAAGAAACCGTCGATACCGTGATGGTTACGTAATTTTTCTAACTATTATTAGCATATGTTGAATAAATGTACCTTTAAGCATTAATGCGTTTCCTTTACACATAACCTTAAATAATAGTGTATAAATAATAATATAATAAGTGGACAAAAATACTAGCAAACTTACGATTTCATTTATTGAAGTGAACATCGGTCCTTACAGTAAACAAAACAGTGTACAGTACAGTAAAAGTCCAAAAATCCGGATGCCCAAGGCAAATTGTTTACCATTTATTATTACAACACTTTACACTGAAACGCGGGTAGTTTCAACAAAAATATTGTATATTTCCATTCAAGTATTTATTCAAGTCAATTAGGAGGGAATATTATTGTAATACAACAGTTTTTTAACTAAACCATTCGAAAAGTGATTACGGTAACATCTTTTGAACGAAAGAAAGCGCAAGTCATTGTTTTCGTCACGATTTGATCCCACTTTCCACTGTAATACATACGTCATTTTAGCAAAAATATTACATTTCCGTGAATGTATTATATCAAGCACAGTATGAATAGAATATCATTGTAATATAACAGAATTTTAACCGAAAACTATTAAAAAAACGAGTAACATCTCAAGAACATTGGAAGGTTAGGTAAAGTCTTTTGTTTTCGTCATGTATTTTATCCTATTTTACATTGAAATACGTCACGTTTCAGCAAAACTACTAATTATTTCCGAGAATATATTCATTCAGGCGCAGTTTAGGTAAAATATACGTGTGATGTAATAATTTTTTAACTGAAAACGATTCGAAAAACACGTAGCCTCTAGCCCTGTTCAAGGAGAGGACTGGGAGAAGCTGTTTGGTGCTGCAGACGATGACAAAGAAAATGATTTTGATGGATTTTAATGAAAATATTCAGAAATATGGTATCGTAATATTTATTCAAGTCAATTAGGATATTATTGTAATACAATACAACAGTTTTTTAACTAAACCATTCGAAAAGTGATTACGGTAACATCTTTTGAACGAAAGAAAGCGCAAGTCATTGTTTTCGTCACGATTTGATCCCACTTTCCACTGTAATACATACGTCATTTTAGCAAAAATATTACATTTCCGTGAATGGATTATATCAAGCACATTTCAAAATAAAAATCCGGCTAAATAATCCGTCGATAATCGAAACCGTCTATAAAAAATCCGTCGATAAAGAGGGAGTATATATATATATATATATATATATATATATATATATATATATATATATATATATATATATATATATATATATATATATATATATATATATATATATATATATATATATATATATATATATATATATATATATATATATATATATATAATTTTTTTTTTTTTTTTTTTTTTTTTTTGTCATTGGTCCATATACAACGCGGACTTCAACATATAATCAACAACCTCACCAGCCAGGACTCGAACCTTCGACCTTGTGGCGCGATTGGTAGCAATCCCTGGTCACAGGCATAAGGTCGAGGGTTCGAGTCCTGGCTGGTGGGGTTGTTGATTATATATATATATATATATATATATATATAAATTGTTTTTTCCCTTGAGTGGCATGATCACTAACCATGTGCATTTTTTCCTCTCTCTCTCTCCAGAGAAAATGATGAAACACTTAGGCTAGACTAGTAAGTATGGCCTAGCATGTGCATGGGAATACTGTACTGTATGGCTTCTTACTACTGCATGCAATAAGAGATGTTTTGCAGATTTAAGTCATATGGATATGAATTTTCTCACCGTGGAATATTAAGGCAGCACTTCATTAGTTTTTCAGTCATTTTAAGTGTTGCTCCTAAAGGCCCAAAATTATTAGATATAAATGTAAATAAATAACAAGAATGCTTATACCTGTACTGTATCTTATGAATGCTTTTTCTTCTCTCTCTCTCTCTCTCCATATTGTGTTACAGCTGTACATTGTATATGCATGTTTTTCTTGCATCACATCACGCTCTCCATTTCTGCTTAAATACTCTCACTAATTATCCCGGTACAGTAATAAGTTCTGCTTTTTTTATCTTCTTCCAGTGTACTGTACTTTGTCAGTCCTAATTTGATTTTGGTTGTGTATAATTTTAAAAGAATGTTCAAAATATTGAGAACACCAAGCCTTGGCAGTCAACCAGTCTACCTTGGTCACCAATATTAAGCACCACTGTGGTTGAGGTATAGCGGTAGTATCCTTTCTCCCATTGATGGCTCTCCTATACAGCCTCATTCACTCTCGAGCATCACATGGTTTTCTGCTGCATTTTCTTCCTGTTATTTTCTTATTAACAGCTTCTGTTTTCAAAATTAATCTTATCTGTTTCTCAAATACCCACTTTCAGTCTTCAACAATTCCACACTTGCATCTGTTCTTTATTTTCAACTTCTATCCTTCTAATTTCCCACCAATGTATGCTGTGGAGGCAACCTACAGTCTTTGCATATCCTGTACTATATCTTTATACCTCCTCATTATATTATCAGTCACTTCTGTGACTAAAGATTTTAATTTTAGACTGGATGCTGGCTAAATTGAGCAGTTAATTTGAAATTTATTCTGTTTAGATTTTTCTTAAAACAAAATCTTCATTGATCGGAATAAGAAAAAAAGTTTAATTCAACTTTATGTAATCTGTAATCATTACTGTACTCACATCATCACTCAGCATTGGTGTAGTTTGCTTTGCTTGTTTAATGAGCTATGCTTTGTAAACTGCCTCTTGGGTAACTTACTAAAACATCTCATGAAAGACAGGTGACATCCATACAGTACTATAGCATTCTCCAGCTATAATTTCACAATGCTTTTGCAAGTTTCCAAGACTTGGTGTTCTGGGTTTGGAGTGATTGTGAATCTCCAACGCTTGAAAGTATTGACGTTTGTAAGAAAGGGGCTTAATGATGGACTAACTTATTCTTCATTATTATCTTCACTCTCTGCCTTATTAGTTGGAAGAAATCACTGCATCCTTAGATATATCAAGACAATGTGGAAAAATCATGGTATCCATTAGAAAATCATGTCACACTCTGATTTTATGTTGTGCTTGATTTTCCCCATTCTTGTATCATCTATGTTTTTATTATCTTTAACTACCAGACTTTTTTTTTCTGTGATGATTTTAAGTCCATATTTATTTAAAATTCTTCCCAACCCTCCACAGTTTATTCTTTGCACTCCCATACCTACTGCTGCTGGTATTTGCCCTCCAAATTTCTGTATTTTCATACATTCTGACAGCATTGTATCACTTGAGACAATCATAACCTATAACTTCGTGAATTTGATGTCTTATTGAAATTGACTTGTTTTTTCTTTGAAGTTCCATGGTTCAGCCTTTCCTTATTAATTATTTCCATTGTATCATACTGTACTATGCCTCTTTATTTCCTCCTGTGGTCTGTCTTCATATCTTATCAAAGTTCATTTAACAAATCATTAAATAGTATGTTTTGTTGTCATTCCTGTTGACTATCCACCATATTCCTCCATTCATTCTCTCTGTGCACCACTTTCCACAATGCATGGCATTCCTTCAAGCATTTCTTCTTTGTTCCTCATTCCATCTTGCAGTTCATGAGTGCACCGCATTCCCTGTTTTATCCTCACTCTTTAATTAAAGTATAGTTGATCACTGACTTACTCATAATCTATATATTGAAAATATATGCACTTCTGTGTACGTCTTTTGTTGCACATTTTACCATCGTATGCTTCTGTTTTTTTCAGGACCGATACCTGTAAGTGATCCTGGTGACGATGCGTTGTAACCTACCCCTCCCCTTTAGCCTTTTTTCACGTCAACGTATGTAGGTCCAGGAAATGTCTTGACTATTTTTTTCTTTTGCTACCTATAAGTTCTGTAAATGTCAAACCACTTTGTTTTTCATATAGGATGATTAATTTATAATATGATATCACAAATAGATATGCACTGTCCACGTATATCAGTGTAACCATTGATCCCTATCAGGGCTCAAATCCCTGGTTATAAGATGTATCTTGGGTGATTCCCACTCAGCTGCCAGCCAGCCAAAAGTCCTGCTTAGCTCATGGAGATTTCCACCATTGCCATCTGATACAATCTAAATGTGATGTGACCCTAGCCATTTATGTTTTGTGGAAATCTCAAATAGCAAACAGTCACATCTCATGTAGACTATCATGAGTGGTTGCCATGTTGTAGCAGTAGAAGTCTAAGTCTCCACAGGCTAAATCAGTCTTTTACATCTTACAGTCCTGGGTTCGAGCCCTGATAAAGACATTGGTTGGAATGTGATATCATGTTGCACATATATCTTGTCAACATGTATAACTTATTTACTGAGCATTATCTTACTTTATTTTTTAACTGTTTTAGCTTGAATGCTGATGCAGTACTGTACATGATATTTCCTATGCAGTGTTTTTGTGAATTTTATGGAGCTGTATTGTTATGATTTGTACAGAATTTATTATTAAATGTAAATTTCAAAAGGAGATCAAAGGCATAACTTGGAACATGAACTGATGAATGTAGGAAATAATTGCCAACTTTTTTGTGTGAGGATGCTTCTCTATCACTAACATTGCAAATTAAATGAACTCTCATTAGAGTCTAATAACTGCTGTGTTGTTCGTTAAATTTGAATGGTTATGACTATTGTACTGTACTGTATATTTTATTTTGAAGGTTCATCCATCCCTGTAACGATGTAGTGATATATTTTAAGAATGTTTGAATTTCTAAAGCCTTTGTGTACTACACTTGTCTTAAACCATTCATTCCTGTTATTTCTCCATTTTCTTGGAGCCTCTGTACCTCATGATCCATCCATCCCACACAACAGCAGGAAGAGAGTAAAGGTGATAGATAAAGAGACTTGGATAACGAGAAATCTTATGTTTCAGGTTCAGTCAATTTTGTGAAGAGTTCAGTTCATGATTTAGTCATTGATTCATGACATTAGCCTCTGTGAGAGTGCACTGATATTTGCAGTAGTTAGTGAAGTGATTTGGTGGCTTATGCTCTTTATGAGAATTTGTGCTGTTGATACACCCTTTAATGTTATAATCACACGAAGTAAAGACAAAACTTACTGTAAATTGAAGGCTGAAATCTAATCTCTTTGTTTGGAGATACAGGGGTTCTGTTGAATTTGTGTCATAATAAAAGAAAAGAATTTGTCTTAACAGAAGGGTTGTTGAGTATTTGAACTGTCAGATCTCCAGTAGACTTGTAAATTATAAAAGAAACAAAGCTCTGTATGCTGTACTTTATTCTTTTATAGGAAAGCAAATCCTAAAGTGTGATTCGAAAAAATCTGTTTTTGAATTGGGACTTTAAGTAATCTACTCTGATACAGGAAAGTAAATCCTAAAGTTTGATCTGCACTCTTGAATCAGGCAATAGAGTAAGTTCAAAATATCTTACTCTTTTATAGGAATGTAAATCCTTAAAATTGAACTAAAAAAAAAAACTCCTAATATCAGGTCTTATGGTATTATTGTAACTAAAATAAACATTATTCTGAAGTATCATTCCATGTCACTAATCCTTTCAGAACTGTTACCTCAACCCTTGATGATGGTATATTTTCCTGCCAAGTAGGTATTAATATTTGGCTGAGTTAATATAATTTTTATTTTATACAAAAACATTTAAAAATGGAAATTAAAAGAAATGATGTGCCATGGTAATAATGACTTTTATGTTCCTTTTGATTTAATTACTTCTCCTCATTTTAATTTTTGTTACTCAAAGTATTATATTGTATTATCTTTAACTGGTAATAACAGGGATTGGGAATAAAGGCAGATTTCATATGGCTTTTCATTAACCTTATCTAATCTCTTGATGCCTCTAGCCTGTAAAGAATTTCCCTCTGAGGGCAGCCATGACAGGAGAGCATCCATACTTGCTTACCATCACATGTTTCTCCTCCCATACTATTCTTCTTATCCTTACTTTCTTATTGTTAATATTTAAGGTAGAATACCATATTTTACAGTATATAAGACCCCCCCCCCATTTCAGCAGGGAAAAAACTTGTTTATTTTGTCCTGTAGCCACAGTTTTCTTTACAATACTAGTAAATGTGAGTAATAAATAAAACTAATGCAGCATGCCCTTAAAATTTGCGGGAGTTAGGTTCTCAAAATGGCCGCGAATAGCCAAATCTGCGAATAACATTTGCTGACCAGGGTGGGGTAGAGTGCAGTTTTATTTGTGTACAAAGAAATGCATATTCTCTTTGTGTTTGCCCTAAGGACAATTAATTCTTTTACCTGTGTTGTATATATGTGTGTGTGTGTGTGTGTAGACACACACACACACACAAAACACATACAAATAATTAATAATGGAAAAATACTCTCACAAATACAGTCAACCCTCACTTTACGCAGTACTACATTCCACGTTTCCACGTTTATGCGGTGCCCTGCCGGAACCCAGGATGCTCACATTCCGCGGTGCGTGTACCCCATTACGAGGAGAGTGTCCGGCTCGACTCTATTTTTAGATTCGCCCCACCCGCCTGCTCCCGCATCCTCCCTCCTCCGCCTCCGCCTGGCCAAGCCGCGCGGTAAGGTTGCGCAGTGCATGTCTCTGTTGCGTTATCACTGACATCATATGACGTATTGGACTGTGATTGGCCATGCATCCTTACCTCCCTCCGCTGCTAGCTGTAATTGGTTTAAAGTAATATGACGTGTCCACCCGGGGGAGGGAGGGAGGGAGGAAAGACGACGCTCGATCTAGCCGCGGCAGTTTCATCCCTCCAGGCCACACCGTGTAATCGTGCATCCATTGTTCTGTAAAATGGCTTCTGCCCCCAGAGAGAAACCTTTCCTTACCTGGACCCAGCCACCCTAAGCCCAAGAAGACACGACGTTCCTTAAGCTACCAGGTGAAGTACAAGATCATCCAAGAGTTAGAGAAAGGAACAAGACAGGTTGATTTGGCACCCCAGCATGGTGTGAACGAATCTACGATCCGGACGATAAAGAAGGATGCAGCCAAGATAAAGGAGCACATGAAGATCACAAAGTCTACAGGTGCTTCTATGATCAAGTATTTCCACAACCAGGTGCTTCTCAAGATGGAAAAATTACTTGTGAGCTACTTGGTGCGTCAGGCGCGACGGAACATGGCGGTGGACACGCGCTCTGTTAAGGAGTACGCACGTGAACTGTATGCTGCAGTGTCACGAAAGATGGGAATTACAGAGCCCAAACCCTTTAATGCTTCCTCTGGGTGGTTACAGAGGTTTAAGAATGAGGAACAAGATCACCAATATCAACATTGGTGGTGAAGAAGCTAGTGCTGACCGTGTTGCGGCTAGGGAATTTCCTCCGTTTTTACGTGAGATTATGGAGGAAGGACAGTACACTGACGACCAGGTGTTTAACATGGACGAATCTGGTCATTTTTGGAAAAAGCTACCTTCCAAGACCTTCGTTGTGAAGAATGCCAGCAAGTGTCGGGGCCGGAAGTTGCAGAAGGAGCGCATCACCGTCCTGTTTACCACCAATGCCTCCGGTACCTGTAAGCTCAAGGTATCGGTGATCCACACAGCCCGCAAGCCTACAAGAGCATGGACATGACCAAGCTAAATGTCCACTGGCTGACCGCACGTAAGGCGTGGATGTTCTCTACACTGTCCCTCTCCTGGTTTGATGACTGTTTCGTTCCCGATGTGAAGAAATTCTGTGAGCAACAGAATGTGCCATTCAAGATTTTGTTGCTGCTGGACAACGCACCAGGACACTCGCCCCTACTGTTAGATCGTCACCCCAATGTAAAAGTGGTCTTCCTTCCTCGCAACACTACGTCTATATTACAGCCCATGGACCAAGAGTTAATCTGTAATGTAAAAGCTGCATTCTCAACAAAAAAATTCCAGCTCCTGAATGACTACACCAACACCAGGGAAGAGTTGCGTAACCTGAGTGACACCACCACCGATAGCAAGAGCGAAGAAGATGAGGATCAACAGTTGGCAGAGCAAAAAATACTGTTCAAACAATTCTGGAGAATATTTAACATCAAGAAAGCTGTGGACTTCTTGGTGGAGGCATGGGATCAGCTGTCTGTAGCAACTGTTCATCACGCATGGAGACATGTGTTGCAAGGCATTCCGGGCGTAAGGCAGAGTCAATCTGTGACTGGTGAGGTTCAGACTGTTGCAGTAGCAGTGGACCTTGCCAGAGAAGCTGCGCAGAGTGTTACAGTTGCAGGCTTCTCCGAGACCACCAACGACGACATCCTGGAGGTGATAAGGGATCCTGATGTGACTACCGACGAGATGGTAGATGATGATGACGTCAGTGAAGAGGCAGGTGGTGCGTCATCCCAAGAAGAACACCGCTTATCCCATAGTAATGTTAGGGGTGCCATCGAGTGTATCGAGAAAGTCAAGCTCCTCCTTTCCGATGACCCTGACGCAAACAGGTATGAAATCTTCACTACCCAGCTGTTGCAGACTATGGAGCCCTACATCAAGGTTTATCACGACAACATAAACACCAGCCGTCAGCAAAGCATAACAGAGTTCTTCGCCCGCAACCCACCACAGCCAGCCCAAGCCAGTGATAGTGACAGAGGTAGAGACAGTGAAGATGACTTTGAGGGATTTGTCAGGGAGGCCTGAAGTGTGGATGACAGTGATGGTGACTCACCTGAGGGCCAGTAGCCTGCCCTCTGCCTCGGAACCAGCCTCCATCCCCGTATGCTGACCCATCTCTTCTACTAACGTAAGTGTTAAACCTAACTTTTAGTTTTCCTAACCTAACCTTTATTTTTCCTAACTTAACCTTTATTTTTCCTAACCTAACCTCTTCTCTATTACTTGTTTGTGCATACCATCATAAAGTTAAGATAAAATTTTTACTACAACATAGTTGTGTGTCGTCAAAAAGTGGAGTTTGGGGGTCGGCCTGGTCTCTATTTCAATTAATCCCATATGTTATGTTGTTCACTTTACGCGTTTCTCACTTTCCGCGGTACCCTGTGGGTTATATTAACCGCGTAAAGTGAGGGTTGACTGTATCTATATACATTATGTTCATTAATAGCATTTGTTTTTAATTACTGAAACTGAAATAAAAGTCTAGGTTTTACAAAAATATTTATTATACATTTTATTATCATTGTTTTATATAATCAATATTATATCTGATTACAAACTGCTAAGTAAAAAAATATAAACTATAATTAATAATTCTATCATCTCACCACCTGTGGTACCTCCCGACAAACGGGTTACCACAGGGCAGTGCATTGGGCCCTTTGTTGTTTGTTTGCTTCATAAATGACATACCAGAAGCTATACACTCCTCCATACAAATATTTGCAGACAATGCCAAGTTCTTTATGGAAATTAAGAACCAAACAGGTACCGGTGTGTACTGTACTCTAAATTCAATATTGTTTCTGTTACTGGGGATGTTGCTAGCCATACAGTACAGTGCAGCACCTTTTTGTGTAACTGTGACAAGTGCTCAAGTTATCACAGTGGCAGTAATGATATTAAGTTCGTGATAGTATGGTGGAGGTGGCTGATAACCATCTGTGTTGATTCTGAATTTTCTTCAATAACTATGCTATGAACATCACGTGCCTGTTTCAACACTGATAGAGAGTGAGTCACTGGTGCAGAAATTTGTCTGTGTTTTCTCACCCTCCTCTGTAAGGCTACCTTTAACGACAGAACCACTGATGGTTTTGAGCCTTCTAGTGTCACAATAGTTTTGTTGCCTTTTGTGGAAAATTGGAGATGAACACAGTCACTATGGTACCATAATGTTATTTGGTGGTTATTAGTCACACTGTTCTCACCCTCAGGGTCTAATGGAGTAAAAGTGAGTAATGGTCCAAATAAAGATGTGTTATCTTCTACTATATAGGAAAAACTCACTCTACAGATAAGAATTAAGTCTCTGTGTATACAAGATTTAGAATCTGTACATTCTGTCCCCTTCACTGCTTTCTGAAAGGTTGAGCCAGAATCTGAAGATGTAAATTGTTTAGTATCTGTACTTAAATTATGCTCATATGTAAGGAAGTGAAGTATGTCAATTGTTGTGGTACAAGCCAGGACTCGACACACAGGACGAGATGAGGAAAAGTGCTCTAATACCAAGTAACTTTCCACAGTTCTACCCTTCACGCTGCTAAGGTCAAGTGCAGGTAATGTTATAGACAAACACAGAGTTCTCTTAAAGCATCCACTGTTAAGCTTAGTATTGAATACCTGTAATTGTGTTCCATCTAGTCTGAGAATAACTATACTAAGTCTCCACCACTGTCCATCTAAGTCAACATCTTTATTAACTCTGTCATACTGTATATGTACAAGGTAAGATTCCTTTTGTTCAATATTTTGTTCCACTCTAACATCAGTGGAAAATAAAGATAACTGGGGTTCACTTAAGAGTCTGTGTGCTAACCTTAGTTGTCTAAGGTATAAATCCATTGATTCTATACTATTTTCCTCATCATCCATCAAATCTGAGCACCGTCGGACTACTGCCATCATTCCATCATAAGTGCAAGGCAGTTCGTGGTCATGCAACATGGAATTCACTTTTGGATTATCATCTTTATTATGAGCAGTCAGAACTTCCCAGGAACACTGATATTTACGGCCATCACAGGTAAACATTTCAATGCGATCCACATTTTCACAAGTAATTTTAATGACACCGGCATATGGTAATTTGTGACTTCTCACTTCCACCCTATCTTGAGCTATGACAGAAACAAGGTACAAGTAAGACTGAATACCATCAGAGAAGACCAAGGCATCTTTGTGGCCACAACACGTCATTACCAAGGATGTAAGAGTCTTTGTCCTCCATACCAAGTTGCATTCCCCATACTTTCCTTGTACTTTATGTGAGGCATGGAATACTGAGTAAGGTGCTGGTACCCCAAAGCTCACCACTGATTCCTTACTTACGACTACAACTGCTTGAATGCCATCAACTGCAACAATAAATACAAATCAACATACTTAATTCCTATGTAGAGCATCATCAATAAAATGCATGAGTTATGTACAGTGGTCCCTCGGTTAACGAACACAATTCGTCCCAGAAGGTCGTTCGTTAACCGAAACCATTGTTTCAATGGGATATTGGGTAATTGGTTCCAGCTCACAGAAAAGTATACAGTCAGTTCTGCTATAACGCGATAGTTGTGTTCTTGTAAAACATCGTGTTATAGAAATTTGCGTAATAGAAATAACAGGGCTTATGGAGAAAATAGGGTTAGGTGCAGATTACTACTCGAAATTGAAAAAATTTTAGAAGTTAGCCTAACACAAAGGTTAGCACAGTCTAAATAAATGTTACATTCATATCTAATAATGAAATCATACAGTAAATGTAACACTTTACCGTGAAGAAATATGAATATAACTTGATGGGGGAGAAGGGTGATTTTGAGGTTGATAACATCGAGCTTCTCTTCAAGTATTATAGCCTTTCTTTTACAATCATCACCGGGAATGCGATCAACAGAACGCTTCTTGGAGATATTCTTCTTTACCATATTCACAGTTAATACCACAAAATTGGAGAAATAGTAAGCAAAAATCGCGTTACAGCAAACAAGCGTTCGCGTTATACAAATATCGTTCCTCTATTCATAAATCACGTTAGAGCCAATTCGCGTTGTCAAAACACGCGTTATAGCAGAACTCACTGTATACAAAGTAAAGCCAGAATATAATTTACATTGCTGAAATTCTTATAAGATAGTGATTAATTTGAATATAAACAAGCTATAATTTGCATTAGACATACAAATTTTAGATCTAATTTAAGAATTTTATTAGGGAGAGCAAAAACTTTATCTTTTGTGCAAAATATATGAAGATTATATTCAAAATATTCCCTGTCTTGCAAGGATTTCAGCAATGCAAATTATATTATCCTAACTTTAGTCTGAGGTATTATTTATTTTTAAACCTAGTCTTTTTACCCAAACATTTCTCAGGAGGGTGGGGGGTAGGGAGGGAGGGGTGACAGTGACATGTTTGACAGTTGGCACCTGTGGTGTAAAGTATTTAATAGTAAGTTTTTTTTTCTTTTAGATTGAGTTTTTGTTTTTTGCTTATAAAATTTAATAGAAGTGACTGTGGTGAATTTAATTTGCAGTGCTGGAATTCTTATAAGATAGTGATTAGTTTGAATGTAAACATAGAAGAGATCACTGAATTGGCTGAGTACCTCCTCAGCTTTTCAGTTGATGTTCAAAACAACATGTGATTTTCATAAGGATTTCGTTAATCAAATTTTTTTTCGTTAACCGAATTGAAGATTCTTATGGAAGGTAATTCGTTAACCGAGGCGTTCGTTAACCGAGGGACCACTGTAGTTTAACCACATCAACTCCTAGGGAGAGGTTGTTTCACCATATACCAGACTAAACATATCACATGAATATTAGGAATCCCAGCTTAGTTCACCCGATGATTAAATGCCCTAAGGCTAAACCAAACTAACCTAATGTAATTAACCTAACCATAAACCCCCCATTTAATATTATGGTGTTTAGTCAGGTGAAATAAACTGAGGTTCCTGTTCTTCATGGGATCAAATTAAACTGTAATACAATACCATCTAGAATACCAGTCCAGACCACATGATAAGTTGCGCGACACAGATTTTTTAGGCAACCCGGTAGTTTCGTGTGGGCAGCCATAACTTCTCCTGTCTTACACTCCACTAACACCGCTACATGCCCTGTCTCGGTAGAGTCACAGCTGTCAGGGTTTATCACTTTACCAAAAATTGCTGCCTCCATTGTTGAGTTCAGACAAACAGGATGCAGTTTAACATCAGTCTGTTGAAATAAGATAAAACATAATTTGCAGACTTAAAATAATAACTGCTTTTCACACTTGTAAACCCTTTCCAGCTGTACTTTATCTAACCAAACCAAACTTAACCATAATTTAATCTATCTTAACCTAATCTAACATCAAATGCAGACTATATTCATTTACTCTTACTTCTATGGTATAACAATTGTGTCATGCTATGGTGTTCCTCTTAACCCAACAAGGCCCCTAAAGTTTTCAAACAGCTCCACCCAACATTTCACACAGCAGCATATTATCCATCTCCATAAACAACACAACATAATGCTTTTTGACGATCCACTCGCCTAATAATAATACTACAGTACAAGCAAAATACATTCAAACATGGTACATATATTGTGTAAGGTATGTGAATCCATTTAAAAGTAGAATTTATTATTCATTACCACAAGCAGGCCAAAACAATGTAACAACCATACAGTACAGTACAGCATACATGGTAAAACAACAAAGAACAATAAGCTGATAGGTGTTGGAGGGAAAAACTATAAGTACATAACTGTATTACATAAAAGAATTATATAACAAGCCTCTGTACTGTACTGTACCTTAATCTTTCCCACAAATGCTGTAGGTATGGGTTTACTGTTCTTGCTGCCATCTTCACTGTATAGCCACTGTAAGCAGATTCCTAATGGTGTATCTTTGAGTATGAAACAGCATTCGTTAAGTTGACATCTTGACATGACCTTCTCAGTAATGGATACTCTGCCTGTAGGCTCCATGCTGGGTGGGTAGCTGAAGAATGATAAGCATATGTTAAATATGATATTGCTGACATTCTGGCAGATAGTTCAACCATATTTTCTTATTAAGTTCATTAAAAAGCTTTGTGTAAATACCATTAGAGTTCTTATATAACGACGAGAGTCATTCCAAGCTGAAAGAAAAGTTTATATCATTACTACATAAAGATTAAAAACCACTGCTTACGACAGCCAATGATAAAACACCCTTATGCTGCCTGGGAATATTGTTAGATTACATTATGTTAGGTTAGGTTATTATTAGGGTGTTTCAACATCAAGAGAAATAAGCCGAGGTTCCTAATCTTCATAAGATCCATCCATGCTATAAATAAATGTATGCCGAGTACATTTGTCCAGTTGTTAGTTAGGTAGAATTTTTAGACTAACACCAGGAGGAGTTAATAGAAATGCACGAACTTTGTGTGGTATTATTACCATTCTGGTCATCCAGGGATTTTTAGGATTTTAAGTTTTGGAATCAGTAGTTTAGACAATTCTAAGACACTTTTCTTCTATAGCATTACTTCCGCTCCTGATTACTTTCAGAGAAAATCGCAATAAATTGTTGGAAAATTGTCATAATTTTTAAGTTAGTGGAAGTTGAAATTATGTTTTCTGGTGGTTTTTTTGTACGTTTTGAATGAATCTGAATTTCATTTCTACCGCTAATCACTTTTTTTTAGATACCCCCCCCCCCTTATCCAATGATAATGGGGGCCCCCAAGTGGGAACCAGGGGTTTTGGGTGGGGGAAAATCACAAAAAAAATTTAATTTGCAATAGAAATGACAGCCATTATAATCCAAAACCTAACCTAACCTAATTTAACCTAACCCTAAACCCAACCTATCCACCTGTGTGCTTACCTTAATTAGACTCAAAAGACTCGGAGTTGGGGCCATTGGGGTCCTCCTCCTCATCATCATCCACAGGTCGCACTGGCTGCTGTTTCTCCGATTGCGGGGGGTAGACCTTGCTGGCAGTGCCAAAGAACTGGTGTAGAACCATGTCCTTGCTGAACTGCTTAATAAACACGTGGCACGCCAAGTACTGCTTGAGGGGATCTTATTAAAAATTTGGACTGTGATAAAAAACAATTGAAAAATGTGTCAATAGTACAGTTTATGCCGATTCTAAGTATGCAACTCATTTTTTGCGGGAAATAAATATTTAACATTTTATTGGAGTTTGTTTGCAGGAACATTGTCTGTTTTTTGTTGTTGAATGAAAATGAGTGATAACCTACAATCATTGTTTTTGTTAAGCAAAACTGATGCCTTGCACAAAATGCAAAGTGTGAGGATTATGCCCAAAGAGAAGCAATCCTCAAAATGCCAAGATATGCAAATAGAATGTATTGACTGAAGATTCAATTGGCACTGTCAGAGAGGGGGGTGTCATGAAAAGGTCTCCATCAGAAAAAGCACATGGCAGAACTAACCTAACCTCACTTCACTTAACCTAACTGACCTTATGTTAAGCACTTTGGCCAGCACTTTGATTCATAGACCTGCAAGTCACAAATAAAACATCTCTGCAAAACCTGAGTTTCACATTCAAAATCAGCAAGAAAAACTGTACCTTAAATGCAAGTTTAAGAAATTTGGAACACAATCCAAATTTTTAATAAGATCCGCTTGAAGTAGACGGACTTGTTGCCAGGTCGCTTCACCCACTCCTTGAGATCCATCCACAGACAGTGTTTGTCAGCTTTATAGCTACAAGGCTGGTTACTCTTCACGCAAGTAACTTCAGTTGGCAAAACACTGTGTGGGTGGAGATTTTCCTACTTCTCCGTCGTTACCATGATATTCTACATGAAAACTGGCGATGGCTTGGAAATAATTAACATGAAGATATCATGGAACTAAATTCAAAAGGGTAGCAGCGGGAACCTATACTGTGCTGTGATTGTTGATCCAAAGTCATACTCACCAATCAAAGGACAACTGCACACGTATCAGACTCTAGTGCATGCGGAATACAGCCTACCAACTAATAAACAGCAGCTCTCTCAGACTGTGGTAGCATCAACTAGATCTTAGAAAAAAAATGGGTGGAAGAGATGCTATAGAAGTGTCTTAGAATTGTCTAAACTACTATACTGGGAATAATTTCACTTGTTACCACTAATGAAATCGAAGTCAAAGCTCTGTGTTTACGATGGTTTTTGTTGTGTTATGAACGAATCTGACCTTCATTTCTGGTGCAAATCAATAGTTTCTAAGATTAGCCCCCTCCCCTCCCATCTCAAAATCTAGAAATTTGCTATAAAAGTCACGGTAACAATTGTACAAAACATACGGAAACCTAACCTAACCTAGCCTAACATAACTGAGGAGCTCCACAAAAGTTTGATGTCTCGAATGTGTACCGCTAAGTACGAACATACATAATATTATGTGAAGTAACTCGCTTAAACATAATTTGCGGCAGAAATAACATTGAAGAAAAGTGTCTTAAAATTGTCAAAACTACTGATTGCAACTATCAAATTCCAGAGATTCGTTAAGTGGTAGCTAGTGAAATAATACTAACTACGATTCCAAAACTTAAAATCCTTATCACTGGATGACCGAAACTTTAATTTTACTCTGTGCTACAGACGGACAAGGGGTGACCTAATTGAAGTGTATAAACATCTCTAAGGTTACTACTGTACTCAGTTGAGTGTTTGATAAAATTGATGCTTCGGCCAATATGCCCTAGTAGTTTAAAATAAGTTTATCCTGTGCATTTCGGTATGGTTTAATCGAATTTGACCTTTATTATTATTCTTTGCCTCCCCCTGGTTGAAATGGGGGTTAGAAATACTCCAAATAGGGAAATCTAAAAGTTGGGGATGGTTAAAACAGTCGGACGTGTATTGGCCAAAACTGTAACAATACCGAGTGTTCTTACCTGGAGCTGGTGGAAGTCCGCCCCACCAGGGGTTCACAGCTGAAGGTTGAAGCAGCCACAACTCCAGAAGACTGTGAAGACAAACTTTTTTGGAGCGGGAAATGTGAACTCCTTGAACAATCTACAAAAGGAGTGTTGTGATGACACCGAGTGTGAGCTCTTTTAAGACCAGACTTGACCAACACTGGAGCAGTATTGTACCTACGACTGACGCTTGTGAGAGAGGAGTGCGTTCCATTTACTATACTTTTAATGCTCTTCACCACTGATCCTCTTCACTATTGGTGTTATAATGTTATTACTGCGCTTCAACAACAAAAGTCTTTAATTGCGTAACAGTGTCAATATTTACACTAGTACATCAACAATGATAGATTGTGAACAACAGAACTGTAGGGAAACTAAAAATCCTACTCACCCTGAAGGTGTGGCAGGCTACAGTGCTCAATATACATACCAATTATCACCACTTGCTCCAGGTTCTTGAATAACAGAACCAGCATGTTATGGTGTTTAATATTTGTGGAAATTATATAATTCTTTAAGATGTCATGAAAGGATTGTCCATTCTGTGGATAATTATTGGGCCAAATTATTACGCTCATGTTATTTTTGTCTACATCATATACCAGTTTACATTAATAATCTCTGCTTACATCTTGTTCTCTTGGAACTCTTCACTGTGATACAAAACAATAGTAACTATATATTCAGTTGTTTTGAATCACATTAAAATAAATTTGTGTCTGTTACTTTTATCCTGTGGGGTATAAGTTGTTTGGTTCACACTCAGGATGGAATGGAGAAAGGAAACTCACAATGTGCTCGCTATATACATGTTGTATTGGATGTACAATGCAGCTTGGTGCTGGGAAGGCAGCGTGGTTACAAGCGTGATGTAGAGAGAGCTGGTTGGTGAGGATGCTCAGAGGATGGATTGGTGTGCCGGGTTGGGCTGGTGTGTTGGCCAACTCAACACACCAGCTCAACCGGATCCTGGTCCGTGATTCTTGACGCCATCCGCCCACCCCTCGGATGTCACCAGTCTTCGCTTACCAGGATCACCACCCGAACACGCCAAGCCATCCCAACACACCAAGCCATCCCAACACGCCAAGCCATCCCAACACGCCAAGCCATCCCAACACGCCAAGCCATTCCAACACGCCAAGCCATCCCAACACGCCAAGCCATCCCAACACGCCAAGCCATTCCAACACGCCAAGTTTAGTATCAATCCCACCAAGGAGGTTAATCCAAGGTCAGCAAATGTTAAGTATTAATCCCACCAAGGAGGTTAATCCAAGGTCAGCAAATGTTAAGTATTAATCCCACCAAGGAGGTTAATCCAAGGTCAGCAAATATTAAGTATTAATCCCATCAAGGAGGTTAATCCAAGGTCAGCAAACGTTATAAGACCCACTCGGGTGATCAGTCCGGGTGAGCCTGGACCTGACAACCACGGAGCGAGACGGTGGTACCAGTCCGTCAGGCCACCGTAGGGAGGTCTGAGGTAAATATTTTAAAAGTTGTATTTATGTTTCCTAAACCTTTATTCACCTGTTATTGTATTATTATGGCACCAGTTAAGATTAAAGGTGATAAAACAACTAAAATAAAGTTATAAATTGGTAATATAAGGCAAACTTTAACAGTATTTTCACACATTGGGTATTGCCTTATGTTGTGATAACTGAGAACTTCTTCCATTTCCAACATTAATTGTTAACATTGGTACGATAAATTAGCCTTGAAACACATTATAACTGTCTTAGTGTAAAGAATTAAGATTATCATTTGAAAAAGAGTAAAATAAACTGCGTTTACAACAGCTAATTAAATAAAAATACTGCCATTTTATACATTTGTAAGTATAATTTAGACCAGTTGTGGAATGCGACAAAAGACAAGGTATTGATATATGCAAATTATACCGACAAAGTTCTCGTTTAAAAAATAAGGGAGAGGAGTGGGGAGGGGGAGAGGGGAGGCTAAAGTCATGACACAAAATTCATGTCCCTCACGCCCATCGATCAAGGACATCAACAGAAAAAGTAATGGCAGTGTCACCTACTACACTCATCCCACCTTGGTTCACTCAAGCTCTCCTTCCCTCCCACTCACTCTCCTTCTCTACTACCGTACACAAGAAAGGCACGAAAGAGTGTGGTGGCATGAAAACGAACTAATTTCACCTAACTTTGAAGAGGTGGCTATGAGCTGCTTTTCGTCACCCTCTTCATAATTATTTTGTTAGTTTTATTGAATATTTCTTGTCAATATGATTAACGTACAAAGAAACACGTATTGGTAGTTTTACAATTTTTTGTTTTTTACATTATTGGTTTTACGGCCCATATTATGACAGTGCAAAAGCTGCTGGAGTCATCCCGTCTTACTAACGCTAGTATTAATCTGGTAAGCGCATTTACGGTAATTTATTAAACTTTTTAGCAGTTTTATAAGTGAGTTTCTGTCAGGAAAATATAAACTAGTGACGTTCTTGCCTAGAAATATTCGAATGGATAGAGGCAAATTTCACTGGGAGAAAATCATCTCAAAACATTATGTTGCATATATTAATAAATTAAGATCATTTAAGTAATTTAATGCCAATTTTTAGCAGTTTTATAAGTGAGTTTATATCTGGAAAATATAAACAGGGGAGGTTTATGCCTAGAAATATCAAAATGGGTAGAGGCAAATTTCACTGGGAGGGCATTATCACAAGGATGGTAATATTACATACAAAAACACCTTTGATACAGTGGATCATGATATAATATGTGAAATACTGCAGGCTCTAATTTTTCATCACCAATTATATTATTTCGTTTTGGTAAACTTCCATTTGGCTGAATTAGGAGCATAATAAAACAAGTTCATTGGAAGCTGGAGTTTGATTATTTAATGAAAATGTGCCTTAAGCATATATGATACAATATTTTGGCTAATATAGAGGACTTCACAGCAGCTTCCCCCGTCTCAGTAATAGTAAGTTCGCCCACGGCTCTTCAAAAACACAATCTCTGGTTACTGCACAAAAGAGAGTTGTACGGACAATGACCTACTTGAAAAAAAAAACAGATCACACAAATGAGAAATTTGATGGATTGACATTTTAAAATTCTAGGATATTAACACCTACTGCTGTGCCCACTTTGTTTGCAAATCTATCAGTCACTTGCTTGACAATAATTATTTCCAGTTCCGTAATAATCAGAGATACAACTTAAGGCCCCCAGAGCTACTAAGACCACCCCCCATGCGCTCCTCTCAGTCCCAGACCTCCATAAAATATCATGGTGTGAAGGTGTGGAACAACTTACCCACCCCAGCAAAGACTACGCTCCCTTCCTTTAAATCATCTCTTAAAAAATATCTACCGTATTGTCTAAGTACATTAATATTTCTTGTAACACCTACTATATTTACAGCACTGTACCTGCTTTTATTGTACCACCAAAACCGTTTTATCGGAAATTATCATGTAAATAGATAAGTAATTACCATTGCAATAAACATAATTGCGAACTAGACATAATCCTGACAGCTCTGTCCTCTTGTTTAACCTTATTACTGCACAACCCAGGTTGTACTGCTCCCCCATTATACTTATGTTTTTCAATTCCACTCTAATTTATATGTATATGTGTATGTGTATGTATGTGTGTGTGTGTATATGTATATATATGTATGTATATATGTATGTGTATATGTATATATATGTATGTATATATGTATGTGTATACCTATGTATGTACTGTATATATAAACAAAAATATCAATAAATAAATAAATAAATAAAAATAATAAATAAATAAAATAAATAAATAATGAAGTGATAACCGTGGTAACATGTTGTTATTACCACCATGCTATTGTACTATTGATACTAAATGTTACATAATACTTCCTTGAGATAAATGTATACTACAGTATATATCAGGTGCCTCAAAGAGAGCTCAGGTTCTCAACTGGCTCAGCCATGTTAATATTGTTATTATTACCCACTCTGTATCTGTGTTTTTCTGGCTAAATAAAATGTTTCAATTCAATTCAACTGTCAACAGGAGGGAGGACAGTGTTCGTGACCGGGGTGTGAAACAGGAGCCACCAGTGCTGTGGGCCGATGTTGGTGTAACCTGTGTCATTGGCTCTCATTTGCCTCGACATTCTGACTCACAGATATGTTGCATCACTAACCACATGATTAAGGTGAGTTGTGTGGTATGTGGGGGTATGTGGTATGTGGTGTGTGGGGTGTAATTTTGCCACAGACAGCAGCTAGTTTATTGTGTACCCCATACTTATCCGATGAGCACAAAAGGTATTACAGAATCAGGGATGGAACCAGACTTTGAAATATTATATTAAGGAAGTGGTTTATCAGGCAGTGGGGGGGGGGGGGATTGAGTATTGTGATCCCATATAGCTGGGGGGTGCTGTAAGATCCTACCCCGCCACACACACACACAGGCAAATATTTTTAAATTGTTGCACCTTTATCGACTGGACGTTAGGACAAGCTCTATGGTTGGAGATGCAAAGTTTGTCCCCATGCTTAGTGTGATGATCTGGTGCTAAATAAGTCGATTTGAGATTCATTCTTTCTCTCAATATGTACACAATACGGGGGGATCCCTACACATGAACCACGCGGCGGTCGACAAAGTTAAGAAGAAAACCCAGAAATTCAAGATTTGGGTTGAGTCAAACGATGAGCAGGACAGGAGGATGTATGCAAGAGCCAGAAACCAAGTAAAGATAGAATGTAGGAGGGCTGAAAAGGAGTTCCAGAGGCTGGTTTATAAGCGAGGTCAAGTCAAACCCAAAGGCGTTTTACCGCTATGCAAAGTCAGTATCAGACCCGAGGCTGGTGGATGGTAGTTACGTAGATTCTGACCAGGATAAAGCTGAGGCATTGAACAGCTTCTTTTCCTCGGTGTTCACAAGAGAGGATGCAACTAACCTTCCTGCGTTTGAGGACAGACGGTTCGGCACAGCACTGACCCACATTGTGTTCACAGAAGAGGATGTAGTGGATTTCTCCCCTACAAACGCTGTTTGTCGCTGCCTAGCCGACCCCACCAATTCCCCAGTGTATGCCTGGGTCAACCAGCGCCGCCATACATCACGGAGCGGGGGTCAATTGCTAAGCCACGCCTACCCCCGCTATTTAAGACCTGACCTCGTGGTGATCTCTCTCTTTCTACCTACAGCCGCAGCCAGCAACACCTCCTCCTCCTCCGCCGCTGCCTGGCGGCCCTCGCTCCTCCTCCGCCTGCCTGGCGGTCCTCGCTCCCGCTGGCGAGCATGGCGACCCACAAGCTGTCCTTCTCTGAGCGTCCTCACCAACCAGCTCTCTCTACATCACGCTTGTAACCATGCTGCCTTCCCAGCACCAAGCTGCATTGTACATCCAATACAACATGTATATAGAGAGCACATTGTGAGTTTCCTTTCTCCATTCCATCCTGAGTGTGAACCAAACAACTCATACCCCACAAATGGTGACTCCCGGAGATTCGCACTCACACAGGATGGAGGAGAAACTGATCACGCTCCCAGTCTTCAAGCAACATGGAAGACTGGCTTATCCACACAGAAGCAGCTCTCATCGGCTCTACAACTACTGTCTCTACACCGCAGGTTAGACACCCTAGAGCAGCTCTGCTACTCTAAGCAGACACCAGCTCCTCTTCCTGCCCCAAGCACCACGTCCTACCGACCCCAGCACACCCGTCCTGCCTCAGACGCCGACCCCGGCCCAGCAGTAACCCCTGCCGCCCCTGATGCGGCCTCTGTTCCTGAGTGCGGACCCACACACCCCTCTTTTCTCCCTCAGGTACTCCCTGCTAATGTCCTGCACCCTGCTGCTGTCGTGGACCCAGCTGCTGTCACGAGCCCTCATCCGCTTCTGCTGACGCAGCCCCTGCTCCTGACCCAGGCCCACACACCCCAGCAGGCGCATCTGACGACTCTGTACCTGCCGTGAAGGAAGCACAACATTCATCGCCTCCACACACCCTTTTTCTCCCTTTACTCCAACAGATATGGTGTATCTAAACAGTTGTATCCAGCGACCGGCTCATCCACGCCATCGCCGTTGTCTCACATGAGGCATGCACCGCCCGTTCTGCCTCACATGTGCTAAGCAACCCTGCAGACAACAAGTCTCCTACACCGCCTGGAGGGAAGGGGGAGTATTGTAGTGGATTTCTCCCCTACAAACGCTGTTTGTCGCTGCCTAGCCGACCCCACCAATTCCCCAGTGTATGCCTCGTGGTCTAGGTCAACCAGCGCCGCCATACATCACGGAGCGGGGGTCAACTGCTAAGCCACGCCTACCCCCGCTATTTAAGACCTGACCTCGTGGTGATCTCTCTCTTTCTACCTACAGCCGCAGCCAGCAACACCTCCTCCTCCGCCGCTGCCTGGCGGCCCTCGCTCCTCCGCCTGCCTGGCGGTCCTCGCTCCCGCTGGCGAGCATGGCGACCCACAAGCTGTCCTTCTCTGAGCGTCCTCACCAACCAGCTCTCTCTACATCACGCTTGTAACCATGCTGCCTTCCCAGCACCAAGCTGCATTGTACATCCAATACAACATGTATATAGAGAGCACATTGTGAGTTTCCTTTCTCCAACCCATCCTGAGTGTGAACCAAATATCCTGAACCCCACAAAGGTATTAGAAATAAACTGTCCAGGCTAAAGGTCCATAAGAGTCCCGGACCTGACATGGTGCATCCTAGAGTGCTAAGAGAGTTGTGCAACGAGCTTGCAGAGCCCCTGAAGATCCTGTTTTGTAAATGCCTGGATGAACAAATGGTCCCCAGGGAAATGAAAGTGGCTTATGTGAGTCTTATCTTCAAGAAGGGAGATCGCCACTACACGAACAACTATAGACCGGTGAGCTTGACCAGCATAATATGTAAAGTACTTGAGAGTAATATAAGAGATGCCGCGATGGAACATCTAATACGAAACAACCTTGTACAAGATTGCCAACACGGTTTTATGCCGGGCGCTCCTGCATAACACAATTGCTCAAGGTATTGGATAGTTGGACCCATATTCTGGAACGGGGTGATAATATCGACAATAGTTACCTAGATTTTGCCATGGCTTTCGACAGTGTATCCCACGAAAGGCTGAAAATCCAACTGGAAGGGTACGGAATTCGGGAAATGTCCTAGCATGGATAGAAGACTTTCTACATGACCGCAAGCAGTGTGTGGTGATTAATGGCACGAAATCGTCATCTGTACCTGTCACCATAGGGCAGTGTATTGGGCCCGTTGTTGTTTGTTTGTTTCATAAATGACATGCCTGACGTTGTACACTCCTCCATACAAATGTTTGCCGATGACACCAAGTGATTTTGGGAAGTTAAGAACTGCAGAAGGACCTCTGTGGGCTCCAGGAAAGGTCGAAGAAATGGCTGCTGAGATTCAATGTCACGAAGTGTAAGAGGATGCACCTCGGGCGTACCAACGGTAAGGAGGCGTATCATATGTCCCAACGGGATGAAGAAACTGCACTAGTTGAGACTGTGTGTGGGAAGGACCTAGGTGTGTATGTTGACAATGAGCTGAAGTTCTCGGGCCATTGCGAGAAGAAGGTAAATCAGGCAAATAAATTATTGGGTCTTATAAGAAGGTCGTTCAGATATCTAGACAGTCCATCCCTCGTAACGATCTTCAGGAGTGAAGTGCTTCCCCATCTGGTCCCCGAGATATGCTAGGGACTGTCAGTTGGTTGAAAATGTTCAAAGGAGGGCCACCAGACTGGTGCCTGCACTTCGGCACCTCAGCTACCCTGAGAGATTGGAGCGCCTGTACTTGCCTAGCTTATACTACAGATGGACAAGGGGGGACCTAGCTGGTGTATAAGCATCTCGGGGGCCACTACTCAGTTGAGTGTCCTTACTTGGAGCTGGCGGACTCTCGCCCCACAAGGGGTCACAGCTCAATATTGAAGAAGCCGCAAGTCCAGAAAATTGTGAGGGCAAACTTTTTCGGAGTGAGGGTTGTAAACTCTTGGAACAATCTACCAGAGAGTGTTGTGACGGTACCAAGTGTGAGCTCTTTCAAGACAAGACTTGACCAACACTGGAGCGGGTTCAGGTACATTCAGGAGCCGGTGCATGCCCAGTATTTGCCAACAGTGCGTGGCAGAGAAGTGTCCGTTCGCCCGGGCGGCTAGCGAGCCGATCTTTTGGTGAAGAAGATAAATTGAAAGGAAAAGTAATCAGAGACGTGACCGATCGCCCAAGCGGCTAACAAGCCAATCAGTGGCGAAGAGGATAAAATGACACAACATACTGTACATATATCGATTCTCACTACAGGGGGTATTGATCTTTTTTTTCATTTTTTTTATAACTTTATGGTTCTTCATTATTATTATTTTTGTTATCAGTGTTATTATTATTTATTTTTTAATTTTGTATTTATTATAAATTTTAATTACTTTGAACTAATTATTATTATTATTACATTTTCGCGTCCCCAGGCCTCGATGTGGGTCAGTGACCTTTGCTCGGGTGGGCTAATCCGTGTAAAAAAAAAAAAAAAGTCACACTGGAACCTGATAACCCATGCTGGGCATTTAAAGTGGTGGGAATAGGCAGACATTCTGGAACGTCACCTGGGGCCTAAGGGTTAATACTACTGGTGTGTAGTTACCGAGAGCAAAGCACCAGTCAGCTGTTCAGGCAGCCATTTTAACCCATCAATCCACATTCCCGCCGTTTGAATGTTCTAGTGCGGATTAATGACCTCAAAAGTGTCTGTGGTATTGGAAGGGATGATAGTGGGCGGTTCAAATGATGGGGTAAAAACAAAAACGAAAAATTCTCGTAAGTATCGAGTTGGGAAGAAAATAAAAAAGTACTCATTTGAGGATAAGAGAAAGATTGTGAATATGATTGAGCTTACCAAAGGACTTTTATATTGAAGACCTTGATCTCTCTCCTATCAGGAACCCTCTCTGCTAGGATTTGAATTTAAGTATCTCTTTATGCAGCATTTTTTATACCTGTTTTCCTGACACCCACATAAGACAACTCATATCACCCATATATAGGATACACGGTGTAGTTCAAAGAGGATGTGCACATAGACACGACGTAGAATGGATTGTTTACGTGATTGACGTGTCCAGCAGACCGTGTGGCGTGTGCGTGGGGGAGGCATTTCCTCTGTGCTCCCAAATACATTGACTCTCGTCATTCAGTTTAGTCAAAATAATTATTAATTGTATTCCTTGGTTTGTTCCTGACATTGCTGGCAACACGTCAATTTAGGCATGAAACATGCCCTTTATACCACAGAGCGATGCTTAAACTGTGGGCCCGGTGCTTCCAACATGTGTGTTCGTGCGTGTGTCTCCGACTCTACCACATAACCAGGTTAGCCAAAACTGCCTGGCACTGACTTTTGATCGGGACTGTATACATGACGATTTCATACCATTAATCACCACACACTGCTTGCAGTCATGAAAAATGTCTTCAATCCATGCTTGGACACTTCCTCGAATCTTGTACCTTTCCAGTTCAATTCTCAGCCTTTCATAGGGTATGCTGTTGGAAGCCTTGGCAAAATCCAGATCCAGTATATATATTTTCAATATTTCCGCCCTGTTCCAGAATTTTAGTTCAAACATTCAGTGCCTTGAGTAATTGTATCAAACAGCAGCATCCTGGCATAAAACCATGTTAGGTGTTCTTTACAAGTTGTTTTGTAGTAGATGTTCCATCATGGCATCTGTTATAATGCTCTCTAGTTCTGTACACACTTTGCTGGTCAGGCTCACTGGTCTATAATTATTCGTGGAGTGATGATTCCCTTACTTCAAAATAGGACTCATATAAGCCATTTTCTGGTCACTGGTAACCTTTTACTCATCCAGGCATCTATCAAATAAGATCTTAAAGGGCTCAGGAAGCTCATTGCACAACTGTCTTAGCACTCTGGGATGCACCATGTTGGGGGCTGGGACTCTTCTGAATCTTTAGCTATGACAATTTATTTCTTATGCCCTCTTCTGAGAATACAATACAGTATGGGGTCAGCACTGTATCAAACCTTTATTCTCCGTTCTTTGGCTTACACATAACTGTTACCAATTGTGGCAAGCACTCCACCACTGTGATGGTGGATTAGGTTGCCTCGACTCATCTGTCAGCAACTGTACCCAAGTCTGCTAATGATTCTGGCCAATTTAATTCGAGCATGAAAAGGATTAAAATGGTGGATTAAAATACAGAAAATGAAACTCAAAAGTTTCAAAGTGTTTTATTAAACATGATAAAGCTCTATTTTAAGTTACATAATGTGAGAATATAACAGAATAGGGAATGGGACTGAATCCTTTTATCATGAAGCAGTATTAGTCGTCCCAGCTTAGGGGGTCACAGACCTTAAGAATAGTGTAATAATAAGACTTTGCTTTCCATTCATAAGACTTCACTTCCCATTCATACTACAGCAAAAGTGAACTGTACTAACCCCTTTTGTACAGTAAACTGTAACCATAGTACAGTATTAAGACATTGCTGGGTGGTACATACAGTACCTTGGTTTTGGTTTGTAGTATAGAAGGTGTTAAGGCTTGAGTCACTTTCAATTATGAAAATCAACCTTGCCTAGTAGATTCCTAAGTCTTATGATAAAAAAAAAGGCATTCTTTCATTTTCACAAAATGAACACTTAGGAGAGGTGAAGTATGCCTAGAGGTCCAAATACTTACAGCAGGTAAACATTTACCATCAGAGGTAAAATATTGTGTTTCTGTATCAACGGAATTATCATCACAAATATTTCAATGTTCCCTTGGCACAAAGAGAAATATATTTGTCTTAATAAGCACAATAAAAATAGAAGCATAATAATAATAATATTGTAAGGTAATTCCCCCAGAATTCCTACTACTGTTTATACACTGTCCATACAACTTTACATACATGAGTACTAAGTACATTCGTGGATAAATTATGTCTTATACCAGCATTTTCCTGATTGGCACACTGTATAAGAAATATATTATTTAACGAGAAGTAATAACAAATACTGTCATTTCTTGGGGTGCCCACCATAGCCTCGTCTGCACACAATATAAACTGTTTTAAAAAGTACCATGAATAGACCACACTTCCATATAATCATCAGGTGACATGAACTGAACCAAAACTACCACAGGATCAGTAGATCAGATCAAGTTGTAGCATGTCCTTGGAAACAAAATAATAATTTGATGATCCTATTCGTGGTACCTGTACAGTACTGTACCTTTATACTGCTGGGTATCTTGCTCTCTTCACCTTTTCTGTCATTATCTCCCAACAAAACCTTATGTAGCACTTGTTATTTTATAGGATCTACACTTTATATGCACACAGCTTCAGGATCCAGTCAGTCCTGTTGTTTAATGCATTACATGTACTGCATATGGTTTTTGTTCATCTCATTATTACAGTTTGACTGTAGTTTTTTGGGGGATGAAAAATACACAAGCTGATGCTTAGTAGTAAGTGGCTAGCAGCAGTCATTATATGTACAGGAATTTGTAGCATAATATTTGTATAAAAATATCACTACATTTTTTTACAGCTATTCATGACTAAAAGTGAATCATCACAAAGATTTATTGGTCATAAGATGATACAGAAAAAATTATATTGTCTATCAGCCACAGTGTATGTTTGTCAGCACCTCTGTTGAACCTGGTAGTGTCCAAGGGGCAAAAGAATTTAAAAAATTAATAGCAAACACTGGCAGGTAATTTTACAATGCTCTACACAAAGGGAGTCTTCTATTGTGAAACATGATACCAATTATTTTACTGCCTGATGTAGTAAACAAGAGAAACAAAACTCCTGATGCTCAGATTATGCTTAAATGACCAGATTAATTACTGCAGTGAAAGGGGAAAAACTCTACCATCACTCTTAGTTGCCAAGAAGCACCTTTTCTGAAAACTTGATCCTGTTAACAGTGTTAACCAAAGGGAAAATGTTGTCCTTCACCCGAGTCCTGACCAGACTCCTGAAACTGAGGGTTTTTTTGGACTCACTTTTCAAACAATTTCAGAAAAGTGACTCACATAATTATGTAGTACTAAAAAGAGAGGTTTAAAACAGTTCATGGTTTCAAAAGTATAAGTGACAAACATTAAGCAGCACGTTCAGCGCATTCATGTTAAGCTCATCTTCAGGGTTATGTTTGCAGCTCACTAACCTTCCTTGAGATCTTTGAAAAGAGATTGAGGAACTAGATTTTCCACTAATTTTATGATGGCAATGAAATCTACCTCATGGTGACTACAGGCAATCTTGTTTTCACTGATCTCAAGAATGGCCTTACACATGGGCCTTAGTTCGTTGTTCTCAATACAGTCTTTGGTACAAGCCACACTATGATCACAAGGTTTTCCATAGGCAATATTTAAAGACTGGATGAAAATTAAATAAAGGGAGAGTAGGATTTCATATCAGACTTATAAAATCCCTAATTTCCTTAAAACTTAAAAAAATTAGGAACATACAATGAAAAATTCCCCAGGCGAATTTATATAAATAATTCTGGAATGTTATTCATGGTTCTCTGATAATGAAGGTCATGATGAGTTTCCATAATGGCGTCATGGACAATGGGATAATGTCTTTCTCTACACATGTAGCAACTTGACATTGGAAGGTACAGTTAATCAGTGTCAACAATTTCTAAATCTTTTCCATAATCAATAGAGGTAATAAACAGGTATTATATCTTTAGTCAACAATTATTGTTAGGAGTTAAATATATTTAAAAATACTATGCAAATCACAGAGAATCCCTTGGCCACAGGGAAGTTCTAGTCATCATTGAATGGCTACCCAGTGTGTGAATATCTTGAAGGGATAAAATATACTCCTAAATGCAGGGCTTTCCCAGAAAACCTTTAAAATATGCTGGATCTTGCCAGGATTCTTGAGTGGGGGGATTGGAGGATCGTTTCAGAAATAAAGAACACTTTTTGTTCAGATTTGACGCTGCCAGCATCAAGGAGTGATGGTCAAGGTCACAGTCTGCCCAGATAGGACTGATTTTGAAGAAAACATTAAACATGGGAGAACCACAAGTCTTTGGGCCAAAATTAAAGGAAGTTATTGTTGACATGTTGAAATGCTTTAGAGAAAACCCTGCATCATGAAAACCAGAGTACAGTACAGTATATATCAGCAGAGATACCACTTCCTTGTTGTCAGAGGAGACAAGAAAAGTATCTGGCCTTACACATTTGAGCACAAGACTGTGTGGAGTTAACTCCCCTTCATAAAATATAGTCCAAGGTCATCCATCTTCAACAGGGTCTTGGTCTATCACAAGAAAATGTTAGGTATGAATACTATTATATTGTTTGAAAGACAGACAGACACAAATGACACCAACGACGAGAAAACCTCATCAGAAACATGGCCAAAGGGAAATATTTTCTATATTCATAAATACAGTATAAATTTCTCTTCTTAACTTGTCAAATGACACTGAATATCTAGCTACACGACAAAAAGGAAGTTCCACTTCCAGTGTCAAGTCTACATTAGACAGGAAAAGAATGCAAATACTCAACACTAGAATCAATCTATTCTGTCATAGAGGAAGAATAGATTGGCTTGTCCATGGCAGGTCTGAGCATTATGGAACCCTCAACCCATAGATTAGGGCGATCCAGCATTTGTTCCCATAATCTGACCTCCATACCAGCTGCCTCCATCCACTCTACCGGTCGGCCTCCATGCTTGCCTGTGTAAAATGAGGTGACATTAATGATGGGAGCAATAGAATTAAAAATAAGAAAATACAGTTTATACTGGGGGGTATACACATTTAAATAATATATCACTGGTTAGTTTCCATGATTCTTCCTCTAATAAATATTCATTTGTACACCTGTACAGTAGTACTGTACAAAAATGATCAATAAAATTGAAAAAAAACAAAAACATCCTCCTTAAATGCAGGAGAAGCCAAAACAATTGACTAAAACTTCAACAATTAATGATATGGTTCACCTCAACAGGTTATACTGACAAAATTAAAGAAATAATAATATCTTTCTCTTATACAATAAATATCTTGAGGTTTATACAGTACAGGTAAACTTCGATATACGATATCCAGTTCGGCTATATTCCGCTTTAAAGATGGTCATAAATTAAGACCATCTCACTATATATGATAAAAAAAAAGTTGCTTTAACGATATCCATTGAATAGCCATCGATATCCATTGGTTGGATTTATGTTTTATCTCTAGTGCAAACTATGGGTTATATACAGAGTATACTCAAATTAATTGCACTCTTGCAAGGATTCCAGCAATGCAAATTAATTTTTTCTATATCAAGTCAGTGACATTTTATAAGGAAACAATATTTAACCCTATGCACCACGCATCTTTACCTTCACGTGCCGCCACACAGCCAACCTGACGTACCACAGCCGTGTTTGGTTATTTGTTGATCGTAAACCCGCCATCACATTGCTCCACGATTATCAGCCAGCATCGTATATTGTACTTATCGTTGGTGTTTTTTTCTTATATAGTGAGAGGTCAGCACTAATATTTAGATTGAATTGTGTTATGGTGACTGTGAAGTAATATTTTCTGTTGATTTGTGATTGTAAAATGCTTCACTTCTGTTTTCTTAAACATGTGTTCTGTGCTGGCTGATATCTTTGTGCTTACGTTGTCATCCCTGTTTTTTTTTTACAGTACACTACACTACAGGTTAATACTGTACATTACAGTAATATTTTCACTCATTTAATGTGACTGAAATAAGACTTAACCGTTTGGACTCAGCAATGGAGCTTCTTACTGAGAATGATCCCAACTTCAACAGGAGTTTGTCTATGAGGGCAATGGTGGAGGACATGCTCTGCTACAAGGAGCTGTACGTTAAAAAGAAGAAGGAGGTGTGCCAGACAATAATCACCTCCTTTTTCAAACCCTGCCACAGTCAGAGCCATTGCCATAGACTTCTGACACCTCTCCAGTCCCACCCAGGAACTTCACCCTCTTTAAAGCCAGGCCGAAGCCTACACCTCCAGCCCCCAAAGTAGAAGCCCCTTCTAAGACTCCGACTCCCACTCTGTCTCCAGCCTCGCTGGACTCCCCAGAGATTGTGTCGGAGTCAGAGTGACATTTCCACTCCACCTACAAGAGACCCCTTGGCCTTAAAGAGGACATGTGATGATGACCAGACTTATTTTTCAGGATGTGATGAGTGTTGTTTAATTGTTTTGTACTGACAGTAGTATTGTAGGAAGTGTTTTGTCAGTGATACATGTGTGTTTGGGGACTGACTGGGAATATATCCCATTGAACCCCGTGTTATAATGCTCCCTATCTATGATAATTCACTTAACAATGGATTTTTCAGGAACTTAACCCCATTGTTTATGAGGTTTACCTGAACTTGAATTTCACAAGCACTGGGGTATGGTGTGTGATACCAGCTGTATGACATGATGGGGTTAACCAGATGGATATTTTGGCCTTTGATGTGGTAGTTGGTACCAAGGACAAGACTACAGTATTTGCAATTTTAGCATTTATGAATCTTCTGAAGATTAGGCCCCAACAATGCTCACCCCAGTTTAACCAGCCTGAACTTTAACCACCATTAAACTATCTGAAGGCCAATCTTCATGTGATCTCTAAAGGCTAAAATTGTGAATGGTTTTGTTAATAATCTTGACAACATCACTGATCTTGTAAAAATGGTCACCATTGTAGAATACCTCCAGTAAGACAGCTTGAAGAAACATGTGACAATAAAGGAGTGTGTGTGTGTTGTTCTTCATTATGGCTCCATGAGTAAAAAAGAAACTTGGAAGTAGTAACATACAAATACCATTCTGATTTTAATTGTCAATGATTTCCCATCTTCTACCATTGCCTCAAACCTCTTATAACTATTTTCCCTTGTTCAGGATTATTTTAGTAAATAAATGGCACTTATAACTTAATTAGACCTGAGTTTATAGTCTCCGGCATAAACAGTTCTGACATTTTTTATATAAAACAATTGAGACCCCATCATTATACTGTATTGTTGTTTAAGGATCTTTTATTAAAACTGTCTTGTAGAAAATATATTCAGAATCATTAAGAAACCAAATTCTTCTCTCTAACACGATTAGGACAGATGCTGTGGAAATATTTTTTTTAAAGTACCTCTACACTTTTTTGCAAGCTATAAATATTTTTGCTTGTGACCGCAGCCTAAATGTAATGGGAGAGTGTTTGCCCATGTGAGATGAGTAGTTTAGTCGTTTAGACTCTCGGAAAACTTTCCCTAGAACCTGGAAACATTCTGGGGATGTGCAATTTTACTTTTATCCTCTTAGCCACTGATCGGCTCATTAGCCGTTTGGGCGGTTACATGCTGCTGGCAAGTACTGGGCATGCACTGGCTCTTGAATATACCTGAACCTGCTCCAGTGTTGGTCAAGTCTGGCCTTGAAACAGCTCACACTCAGTGCCGTCACAACACTCTCTGGCAGGTTGTTCCAAGAGTTCACAATTCTCACTCCAAAAAAGTTTGCCCTCACTTTTGTCTGGACTGTGCAAGTGTCTATCTGTGTGAGATGCATAGTTTACACTTGGAAAACTTTCCCAATACCCGGAAAAATTCTGGGGATGAGAAATTCGTCTCATTAACCAGAAATCTCTCATCCCAGAGGAACTTTGTACTAACCATTCTGGCTAACGGAGCTGTCAGTATTTGTGTTTCTTATATTTATATTCTATTCACATCAGATGTTGCTTCACAGTTGGTAATTTTCACCAGTTCTGATCTGCTTCTTTACCTTAACTGCATCACCAGAAAATGGTTAACTTACCCTTGCCCAAGCTAAGCCTGCATCCCCCAAGAAGCTGTGATGGTCCCAGGCGGTCGTGGTCCCACACTGATAATTCGAGAGCACGTTCCGTCAGCTCTTGTAAACTTGTATCTTCAAACACTAATGTATGATTCCAGGTGGGATTTAATGTTTTACGGCACACACTTGTCTTCTGCTTGGACGCTTTCCCCTTTTCAGGGAGAAGAAGCCTGAAACAGTAGGGTTTATGAGTTTAATTCAACTGAAATTATCTGAAGATGAGAATGGTGAAGTGAAGAGAGGAAAAATTGTGATTGGGCAGCCATGAGGCTTTTCAATCATGTTCCCCCAAATGAACTCTTAAATTAAATAAGGTTTTGAGAAACTGGATCATTTTAGAAATAAGAAATGATTATACTGTATAGTGTATATTTAAACTGTATATACTAGACTGCACATCTTTTTAAAAAAAAATTATTTATAAAGCAGAAATTTCAGTGAATACACCAAAATTATATCTGAAAAATTCTTGAAACTTATATTGTACAGCACAATACTGTATACAAATGTTTTTATATGCATAATAAAAATGAAAACCAGCAGATTTTTTTCTATTCTGATACAAATAAATGAATTATCTTTAATACAGGAGGTAAATGTGACAGTGCAGCTCTTAAAGCCAATATTATTGACAATGGATTGTATTCAAGAAGTGCTTACCTATGCTGTAGGCTGTTCACTTGAACCTTGCAACTGAGGGTGGGTCAGTTTTTAGCAAGGCAGCTGACTGGATGGTGGCTGAGCTTGTGAAAAGTCACTATAGTACAGTTCTTTAATATTTAATCTATCATATTTATAATCTGATATTTTAAGGAATAATAACTATTGTGTTAATCTCTGATAATTTCTGCACTTAGGGAAGTAAACATGTGAAATTATCTGGTAATATAAATATATTGAAGAGAACAAGAAAAAGATTACAACATTTCAGGGACCAAATCATTGTATGATGTCATGAGGTCAGGAGGAGTTTACATCTCAGAACTTGTTCATGTTCACTTTATGATATTTCTATTACCAGTGTGTTGCACATACTGTACTATGTTTGGCTTCCCCTAGTGTCCATGTCCATCCACCAGCCAATCAGGTGCCTTGCTACAGACTGACCCGAGGCCTCAGTTTCAAGATTTGAGTGAACATACTACGGCATAGTACTACACAGACAGTACAGTACACAATTAATATGAGAAATGGTTTGAGATTATGTAGTGGTGGCATCCGTGGCATGCATGTATGAAGGATATTTATGCTTCACTGCACTTTACTGTATTATGGACTCAAGCTGTGTGTTTAAAAAGTTGTATCAATTTAGTGATATACTGGGAGAGTTGTATGAGGAGGAGCAGAATAAACTTTTAAGTGGGTCAGTGTCAGCAGAGGAATGTATTGTGTTGGAGGGTGGGATGAAGGTTAATATGGAGTTAGAAAAACAAGGTTGAAATTTTTTTTATATCTACAGTATTTTACATAATAAAATCTATCAGAAGACAGCACACAGGAAACTTATTGGGATCAATGAAAAATATTTGAAAAATGTAAGTCACAGTACATGTCACCTGTTGTGATGGGTACACTACTATATATACAATGTATGTGCGGATTATACTAAACATATGGTCCTTAATCTAACCTAACCAAAATATTCTACAAGAGAGTCTAAAGATCTTTTGTATACTGTAGTACATACCCTTTACAGACTGGGTCTGCAGTACCATGAGGCTTTGCTGCGGTTAAACTCTTGGCTTCCTTCACTAACACATGTAGAGCTCCTCGTGACCGACGGGTCTTCTTACTACTGACTGCATCTGGAGGTACAAACTTGAGGGCTAAGATCAAGTCACCTCGTAGACTGTAACTAAGGTCTTCTAAAGGCTCCATCTGTCAAGAAAACCATAGTGAATATCAGTAGCTGGAGTATTATTATAAAAAAATAAGAAAGAACATTGCTTTTTCCAATGCCCACTGACTTCTTTATCATTTGAGTACAACTCACTCTTGTACTCAGCAAGTAAAGAGAATACAAATGAGCACTGAAGCTTTAAAAATATTTTAATGCAAGTTTGTTTATTAAATAAGGTTAGATTCCCAATTTAACATTCATCTTACTGGGCTATATTCATAGAATGTGCTGAAAGAGAAATTATGGAGATTGGGTATCCAACTTGTGTGTATACACTGAAAAGTGTAGTACATTAGGTCTTGGTCAAAAGGATTACCACAGTTTAGTGGCCCACAAAAATGTCATATGAGAGTCAATAAATAACTATAACCAAATATGCAGACTACCAATACCCCTGTACTGTACATTTATTTCCTGTATATAATAAGGTTTTCAGGTCGACCTACAATACATGTCGACCTACAATACATACTCTATCTTGCAGAGGATACCATTTTGGTGAGACATCATCAAACACCGTGTCTGCCAGAGGAATAAACACTTCCCCAAGAAAGTCATTACGGCCAAACATGTCACTGTGCCATACAGACACCCACAATGTCCGTGAATCCAGTTCACTCATAGTTGTACTGAACTGTTGGTGAAAAAAATCACGAATTAGTGTAATTATGGAACCTTGTGCACATTTCATATAAAACTCCATCATTTTACATCAAAATTCTTTACTTTTTATGATCTGAAAATTCCTGCCATGCTATTACAGTAATGTACAGTATATAATTCAAAAGGTTCAGTTAGTAATTTATCAGATCCACCTGGCTGAACCAAACATACATACATCAGACACTGTATTTAATTGCACCAAACTTACCCGCAGGACCTCCTCAAAGACAGGGTTGAGTGTGTGCTTCTTCACTTTAGTTTTCCTCTTACCACTCTTAGACTTGTCAGGGAGAAGGTAGACTTTGACGTACCTATGGGTGAAGGATGACGTTTTCATATGTTTATTCTGGATGAAGGTGTTCCACTACATGACCTTATCCTTCATTGTTTGTGTAACATTACCGTAAACAGTATTATAACTATGGGCTGAAGGACTTGTGGCCTTACTACAGTATATCTAAAGACATCTCAATCTGCCTCATTCTTGTCCACTTGTCTCTTGAAGGTCAACACGTTTGGACTCTCATCATTATAGATTTAGTTTTTGAAGATTAACTTTGTTTGGTGTTGAGATCCTAAACACTAAACAGTACATGCATTAAAATACTCATGTTTTAATACTGTAATAACACTGTACACTCACCACCTTTGAAACTATAACAAACTAATCAAAATAAGCATCAAGTACAAAAATGAGGAAACATTAAAAAAAAAAGTAAAACTCAGCCAAAATAACAAGAAAATTGACTTTGTTACTCTAAGGAAGAATAAGATAAGTAGGTCTGATAGGTGTGATGGTCAGACAGGCAGCAGATAAGTACACAATGCTCACTAAGAAAACAATTTGTGTGGCACTGCAACTGACTGTTATCTCTTCCCCAACTAAAAAATTGGATCTATCACTTAACTGGTCCATCATTCAACTGGTCCATCACTCAACTGGTCCATCACTCAACTGGTCCATCATTCAACTGGTCCATCACTCAACTGGTCCATCACTCAACTGATCCATCACTCAACTGGTCCATCATTCACTGGTCCACTGAGTACCCTTATATAACACTCTCGTCATTTCAGTCCCAGCACAGTAACCTCTGACCTGACCTCCAGCCATCCTGTTTATATTGTGACCTCTTTCCATACATACTTATCGTCTTCTCTCTACTTCTTTCTTTGCCCCCCCCTCTTCCTCTTCCCTCCTCTTCCTACACCCTTCCCCCCCTACACCAGGAAGACCTCAGTACCTCCGGGTCACGACATTCTCACGTACAAACCTTCGCATTTCCGCTAGTAGCTTCTCACCTACCACCACCACTACTATCACCACCACCACCACTCATCACCACCACCACTACTACTACCACCACACCACTACCAGCACTGCACTATTATCACCACCAACACTACTACTACCACCACCACCACCAGCACTGCACCACATCACCACCACTACTACTCACACTACCACTACTAGCACCTCCGCTACCATTATCACCACCAACACTACTACTACCACTACCACTACTAGCATCTACTATTATCACCACCAACACTACTACTACACCACACTACTACACTGCTACTATTACACCTATACTACTACTACCACCACCTACTACCTTTACTACCCTACTACCACCACCACCAGATCAAATGGACCTCAGATCTAATAGGCCCCAACCTAAGTGTAGGAGGACTCGGGGCCTAATAAGACTTGAATTCCTTTAGGATTTGGAACCCTTTAAGAATTGTATCCCATTAGGACTGGGGACCGATTTGGACCGATTATAATCCCACCCCCCCCCTATCATAACGGACTAGACCATGCAGATTAGACTGGAGACCATTTGACCAATCAGAGACAATACCATCAGAGTCTTTACCTACAGCGGTCTGGCAACATGCCTGGGAACACACAATGGCCCGTCAACCTCAAATCTTGCATCTCTACGTCTACGACCACATAAATCCAGCATCTCTACGTCTATGACCACATAAATCCTGCATCTCTAGTCTACGACCACATAAATCCAGCATCTCTAAGTCTATGACCACATAAATCCTGCATCTCTAAGTCTACAACCACATAAATCCTGCATCTCTATGTCTATGACCACATAAATCCTGCATCTCTACGTCTGTGACCACATAAATTCTGCATCTCTACGTCTATGACCACATAAATCCTGCATCTCTACGTCACAACCACAATCCTGCATCTCTATGTCTATGACCACATAATCCTGCATCTCTCGTCTATGACCACATAAATCTTGCATCTCTACGTCTATGACCATAAATCCTGCATCTCTACGTCTACAACCACATAAATCCTGCATCTCTATGTCTATGACCACATAAATCCTGCATCTCTACGTCTATGACCACATAAATCTTGCATCTCTACGTCTATGACCACATAATCATCTCTACGTCTACAACCACATAAATCCTGCATCTCTCTACACATAAATCCTGCATCTACGTCTATGACCACATAAATCCTGCATCTCTACGTCTATGACCACATAAATCCTGCATCTCTACGTCTAACCCAAATCCTGCATCTCTGTCTATGACACATAAATCCTGCATCTCTACGTCTACAACCACATAAATCCTGCATCTCTACGTCTATGACCACATAAATCCTGCATCTCTACGTTTATGACCACATAAATCTGCATCTCGTCTACAACCACATAAATCCTGCATCTCTGTCTATGACCACATAAATCCTGCATCTCGTCTATGACCACATAAATCCTGCATCTCTACGTCTACAACACATAAATCCTGCATCTCTATGTCTATGACCACATAAATTCTGCATCTCACGTCTATGACCACATAAATCCTGCATCTCTACGTCTACAACCACATAAATCTGCATCTACGTCTACAACCACATAAATCCTGCATCTCTATGTCTATGACCACATAAATCCTGCATCTCTACGTCTATGACCACATAAATCCTGCATCTCTACGTCACAACCACATAAATCCCATCTCTATGTCTATGACCACATAAATTCTGCATCTCTACGTCTATGACCACATAAATCCTGCATCTCTACGTCTACAACCACATAAATCCTGCATCTCTATGTCTATGACCACATAAATCCTGCATCTCTACGTCTATGACCACATAAATCCTGCATCTCTACGTCTACAACCACATAAATCCTGCATCTCTATGTCTATGACCACATAAATTCTGCATCTCTACGTCTATGACCACATAATCCTGCATCTCTGCGTCTACAACCACATAAATCCTGCATCTCTATGTCTATGACCACATAAATCGCATCTCTCGTCATACACATAAATTCTGCATCTCGTCTATGACCACATAAATCCTATCTCTACGTCTACAACCACATAAATCCTGCATCTCTATGTCTATGACCCACATAAATCCTGCATCTCTACGTCTATGACCACATAAATCCTGCATCTCTACGTCTACAACCATAAATCCTGCATCTCTACGTCTATGACCACATAAATCCTGCATCTCTACGTCTACAACCACATAAATCCTGCATCTCTATTCTGCAGCCACATAAATCCTGCATCTCGTCTACAACCACATAAATCCTGCATCTCTACGTCTATGACCACATAAATCCTGCATCTCTCGTCTATGACCACATAAATCCTGCATCTCTACGTCTGTAACACATAAATCCTGCATCTCTACGTTTATGAGCACATAAATCCTGCATCTCTATGTCTATGAGCACATAAATCCTGCATCTCTACGTTTATGACCCACATAAATCCTGCATCTCTACGTCTATAACCCACATAAATCCTGCATCTCTACGTTTATGACCACATAAATCCTGCATCTCTATGTCTATGACCACATAAATCCTGCATCTCTACGTTTATGACCATAAATCCTGCATCTCTCGTCTATGACCACATAAATCCTGCATCTCTACGTTTATGACCACATAAATCCTGCATCTCTATGTCTATGACCACATAAATCCTGCATCTCTACGTTTATGACCACATAAATCCTGCATCTCTATGTCTATGACCATAAATCCTGCATCTCTACGTTTATGACCACATAAATCCTGCATCTCTATGTCTGTGACCACATAAATCCTGCATCTCTATGTCTATGACCACATAAATCCTGCATCTCTATGTCTATGACCACATAAATCCTGCATCTCTACGTTTATGACCACATAAATCCTGCATCTCTACGTCTATGACCACATAAATCCTGCATCTCTACGTTTATGACCACATAAATCCTGCATCTCTATGTCTATGACCACATAAATCCTGCATCTCTACGTTTATGACCACATAAATCCCATCTCTATGTCTATGACCACATAAATCCCATCTCTATGTCTATGACCACATAAATCCTGCATCTCTGTCTATGACCACATAAATCCTGCATCTCTCGTTTATGACCACATAAATCCTGCATCTCTACGTCCTGGACAAGAGATACAAGATGACCTATCAACGTTCCCCCTCACACACACAGACCACTGACACCACTAACAACAGCACTTACACCACTAGCACCACTACCACTTACACCACTACCACTTACACCACTATCACCACTAGTACCACTTACACCACTACCACACCACTTACACCACTAGCACCACTACAACTTACACCACTATCACCACAACTTACACCACTACCACCACCACTTTCACCACTGCCAACATTTCACTACCAACACACACACACACACACACATACTAGCCAGGGTAAGAAGGAGGAAGGAGAACGGAGACGAATGAGAAGAGGAAAGATAATAAAACAGGAAAGAAAAGATACGAAGAGAGAGAAAGAGGCAAGACACGGAAGAAGTAGAGATAAAGAAGAGCGCGAAAACAAAAAGAGCGAACAAAGGGGAGATAGAGAATAAAGAAGAAAGGCGATAAAGAAAGCAATATATAAAGAAAAAAAGAGAGGAAGAGATCAAGAAAGAGGAAGAGATAAAGAGAGAAAGAAGAATGAATAAAAAGAAAAAAGAGAAAGAAGAAGAGGGAGAGATAAAGAAAGAGAGAAAGGAAGGAAGAGAGAGAGAGAAAGAGGTAGAGATTAAGAAGAGAGAGTCACAGTAAGTCAGGAGGTAGTGGGCTTCTACTCAACCCCACCCCCTCCTCCCACCTCACCAGGACTAAAATTACGGATAATTGATTCTCTGCCACCCACGCCCTCCTTACCCCCTACCCCCTACCCCCTTTCTTCCTATAGAGTGGGGGAAGGAACACGTCAATGAGGGGAAGGGGTGGTAGATGGGTGGTAGATAGGTTGAGGAGACACGTGAGGGGGAAGAAAGGAGTCGAGGAGGTGGAGATGGAGGTGCTCACGTGCCAGGGGTCATGTCAGGGGGGTCGTGTACGAGGGTCATTAATCAATTCCTGGAACCTTGATGGTTATGACCTCCCCTCACCCACCGTATGCGTCTTCTAGGGCCAGTCAGGGTGTCTCTAGGGCCAGCCAGGGTGTTAGGGTGTATAAGAGGCTATTCTGGAAAGGGTTCACAAGCCCTAGGTCATCAAGTTAGTGATAGCATTATGTTGACCCGTAGTGACCGCTGGCCTGTGTGTGTGTGTGTGTGTGTGTGTGTGTGTGTGTGTGTGTGTGTGTGTGTGTGTGTGTGTGTGTGTGGCATTCATCTATCATTCGAGGTAATTTAGCCTGGCACATCTGACCAGTAATCATGAAGGCTCTTTACACCAAAGTACTCATGAATCATCCTAGTACTCACGGATCATCAAAGTACTCACAGATTATCAAGGTACTCACGAATCATCCAAAGTACTCACGAATTATCCAAGGTACTCACGAATCATCCAAAGTACTCACGAATTATCCAAGGTACTCCCGAATCATCCAGAGTACTCACGAATTATCCAAGGTACTCACGAATCATCCAAAATACTCACGAATCATCCAAAGTACCCACGAATCATCCAAAATATTTCAAGAATCAAGAAAAATACTCAAGAACCAACTCAAACTACACACGAATCACCCCAAACTACTCACGGATCGGATCTGTTCCTTTTGGAGTCGACGGCAGCTAGGTCACGGCACTGCAGGACGTGGCACCTAAGTTGGCCCTCCTTGTAGTTGTATTGGAGACCGAGTTCACTCGTTTTGATGGTGACAGTGCCGTAGCGACCTTCCGCTCCAGCTGAACACACTGATGCCATACTGCCCGTGACTGTCAAAAGAAATGTATATAGTGCTATAGTAGGAATGTATATAGTTGCACGATTTATATAGTGGTTGCTTGGATAGTGGTTTCTGTTGTGAAGAAGAAGGGAGGAACAGCTGTAATGTATATGGAGAGATAATAATAATAATAATAATAATAATAATAATAATAATAATAATAATAATAATAATAATAATAATAATAATAATAATAATAATAATAATAATAATAATAATAATAATAATAATAATAATAATAATAATAATAATAATAATAATAATAATAATAATAATAATAATAATAATAATAATAAAATAATAATAATAATAATAATAATAATAATAATAATAACAATAATAATAATAATAATAAAAATAATAATAATAATAATAATAAAATAATAATAATAATAAAATAATAATAATAATAATAATAAAAATAATAATAATAATAATAATAATAATAACAATAATAAAATACTACTACTACTACTAATAATAATAATAGAGTAATAATAATAATAATAATAATAATAATAATAATAATAATAATAATAATTATAAAACAGTAATAATAATAATAACAATAACAATAATAATAATAATAGTAATAATAATAATAATAATAATAATAATAATAATAATAAAAATAATAATAATCACTGATCAACTGAGTAGATAAACGTGTGATCTGGAAGAGCCAATCTAAATGAGCCATGTCAGTGAGCGAGGCAGAGTGAATAAATAGCCAAAAAGAAAATTAAAGCAATTACTGGATGAGACACCGCGCCCACCTGCATTGATTATTACCTGCGCCCCTGACCCATCCTCCACCTCCATACACCCGTCCCCAGTGTCGCAAATTATCGTCATCTTTTTCATTTTTCCCGGTTTCTCTTTACTCATTCCGATCTATCTTACTTTAGCTCATTAACTCAACTTTACAGAATTGGGATCCCTGAGGTGAGGCAGAGAGGAGGAATGACAAAGGTTCTAAGGAATTCTCACGGGAAGTGGATAGGTAAAAGATTCTGGGTAAAAAGGTTCAAAAGTGTTACTGGAGGACATGGAATGAATGTTTTGAATTGTTTTAGCAACGAAAAAGTTATTAGGAGTTCTCACGGGAAGAAAAAGCATGAAAGGTTCCAGGAATAGAGGCATAGATGTGCCACTGGAAGCAACACCTTGAGTTCGTAGAAATTCTAATAGCAACGCATAAAGCCATCACTGTAATGTTGTAGAAGGTCATCGGGGCACAAACACTCGGTAATGTGCACTACTCCAGAAACGATAAGGATTCTTGGAATTTTGATGGTAAGGCGTATTTGAAGAATCGTTATGGTTCTGGGAATAACGACCCGGCCCGGCAGCATCACATCAAGGGGGACAAATAACGACAGCCACCGACCCAAGAAATTTCTCAGAGCAATCCCAATGTGACTGTGGACATGAAATTTGTTTTGAGAAATTTAAATTTCGTAAATTAGTAAAAGACTGAGATGGGAGGAGGAATGTTGAGAAAGAAGGAGAGGAAGGAACTAAAACAAATAAAGTTATCACAGAAACAATCACAAAGAAATCCTCACAAAAACTTCAGGGAAGACGAAACAAATGAGGTACTGGGGAATCAAAGAACCAAAGAGCCTACCAAGAAAATTCACGATGACTCGAGTAAAAACCTCATGTCTCTCAGTTACCTACTAATAACTCTCTCTCACGGGCTTATCATGTTATTCCTGTAAGAACTGGAGAGGGGCAGGGAGGGCGTGGGGTGAGGGGACTCTATCTCAAGAGAGCTGTGTGTGCATGGGGTGGTAGGGTTGGGGAAGGGTGGGGTGGGGAGGTGGTAGGGGTTGGGGAGAAAGGGGGTAAGGGTTAGGGAGAAGGAGGGTAGGGGTAAGGAGGTGGTAAGGGTTAGGGAGAAGGAGGTGGTAGGTTGGGGAGAAGGGGGTATGGGGAGAAAAGTGTAGGGGTTGGGGAGAAGGGTGGTAGGGGTTGGGGGAGAAGGAGGTAGGGGTTAGGGGAGAAGGAGGGTAGGGTTAGGGAGAAGGAGGTGGTAGGGGTTGGGGAGAAGGGGAGGGTGGTGAATTAGGAGAAGGAGGTAGGGGTTAGGAGAAGGAGGTAGTTAGGGAGAAGGGGAGGTGGTAGGGTTAGGGAGGGGGGAGGTGGGGGGGTTAGGGGAGAAGGAGGGTAGTAGGGGTTAGGGGAGAAGGAGGTGGTGGAATAGGGAGAAGGAGGGTGGTAGGGTTAGGAGAAGGAGAAAGGAGAAGGTGATGGGAGGGATGGGGGACAGAGGCAGGGTTAGGGAGAAGGGGAGAAATAGGAGAATGAGGGGTAGGGTTAGGAGAAAGGAGGTGGTAGGGGTTAGAGAAGGGGGGTAGAAAAAGGAAGGAGGTAGGGGTTAGGAGAAGGGAGGTGGTAGGGGGGGAGAAAGGTAGGGGCTGGGAGAATGTAGGTAGTAGGGGTTGGGAGAAAGGGTGGGCAGAGGAGAGACAAGGGGAAGGGTAGGGTTGGGGAGAAGGAGGGGTAGGGGGCTTAGGGAGAAGGGAGGGGGAGAATAGGAAGGAGGTAAGAAAGAGAAGGGGAAGTAGGGGTTGAGAGAGGGGGGTGGTAGGGGTGGGGAGAAGGGAGGTAGGGGTTAGAGAGAAATAGGAGACGGGGGTAGAGGGGTGAGACATGAGGGCAGGGTCAGAATAAGGTAGGGGTTGAGAGACAGTAAGCAGGGCTGGGGAGAAAGTAGGCAGTAGGGGTGAGAGAAGGATGGGGTAGGGTGTGAGAATGGAGGGTGGTAGGGGTTGGGGAGAGGAGGTGGGTAGGGGTTGGGGAGGAGGGGCAGGGGCTGGGGAGAAGGAGGTAGTAGGGGCTGGGGAGGAGAGGTGGTAGGGTTGGGGAGAAGGAGGTGGTAGGGGTTAGGGGGGAGGTGGTAGGGGTTAGGGGAGGAGGGTGTAGGGGTTGGGGAGAAGGAGGGTGGAGGGGGTTGGGGAGGAGGTAGTAGGGTTGGGGAGAAGGAGGGGTGGTAGGGGGTTAGGGAGACGGAGGGTGGGTAGGGGCTGGGGAGAAGGGGAGGTGGTAGGGTTGGGGAGAAGAGGGAGGGTGGTAGGGTTGGGGGGGAGAAGGGGAGGTGGTGGTAGGGTTGGGGAGAAGGAGGGGTAGGGGTTGGGGAGAAGGGGGGTGGTAGGGGTTGGGGAGGAGGGGTGTAGGGGTTGGGGAGTAGGGGGTAGGGTTGGGAGAAGGAGGGTGGTAGGGTTGGGAGAATAGGATGATTTGAAAGGAACACAAAATTGGGAGCTTGTATTAGGTTAAAACATCTTATCGTACGTCCGCCAGTTATGGGGATGATGAGGGCCCAAACTGTCGTAACAGCTAACAAATACCATATTGGAGTGACATACTGCAGAGTAGGTTAGTAGTTAGGTTAGGCGTACAATAAATCAGGTGTTCACCAGGTGATTCCTACCCGGTATAACATGACACCGTAGCCTCGGTCAAAATAACTTCATTATATACTTCTCACTTATGATTTACACTCACTGTCGCCATCAGACTCTCAGCCAAGTTTTAGATTTTGGAAGAGATTTTTAGAGGAGGAGGAGGAGGAGGAGGAGGAACTCACGCTGGGTAATTTGCGCGCGATGAAAGTTCAACATGCATACTAATGCAAATAAGTCCTGTCCTTGTCAAGACCAGGAGTTGAGGCTTGAAGGAGGCAGTCAGGTCACACACACACACACACACTTCCTGTTGTGCCAGCCAATTTCCTCCTGTGCCGCCTCCTCAACCTCTCTGGCCAGGTCACCCTCCTCCTGTTGTCACCCTCCCTTTGTCACCCCCTCAGTTGTCACCCCTCCTCCCTGTTGTCACTCTCCTCCTGTTATTCACTTCCTGCTACCACCTTTCCTTGCTGATACCTAAAACACCACATGACGTCACGAACACAACACCTACGACGCCACGACTACATTACCAATGACGTCACGACTACATTACTATGATGTCATGACCAACAACATTACATCACATGACTACATCACCATATGACGTCACGAACACACAATACTACATGATGCTACGACAGTAGAGTGACAAGTGTTCACAAGTTCTATTACATGCAAATGCACTTTCAAACACGCGACAAAGGAATAAGAGGATGTACAAAGTGAACAGAATGGAAGATAAATTTATGATGCAATAGAAAGATGGACCAATAGGGACGGAAGACACCTATGATGCAAAAGAAAGAAACTAATAGGAAGAAAAGCTAGCTTACAACGCAAAAGTGTGTGACCATAGGAAGGAAGCAGCCCATGACGCAAGATAGAAGAACAATAGGAGGGAAGCTAGCCCAATGAGGTAAAAGAGAAAGTGAACAAAAGGTAAGAATGGAGCTATGACGTAACAGAGACAGGGACCAATGAGGGACAAGGTGGTGGTATACACAACAAATACCCCGGTACTGGATTCAATGAGCGTCTTGTTTTACTTACATGGACGTCACGTGCAACTCAATGACGTCACAAGGAAGATGAGGTCATCTATGTGTAATGAGCCCTTAGAGAGAGCAGGGTTCACAATATGACAGGTATAAGTGAGGGACATTTTAGTGTGAGAATGACATAACGGAGCACTGTAAGAAGGCTCAGGGTTCAGGAGGTTCTTCAGGGGTTTCAGGGGTGTGTCAGGGTTCAGGTTCAGTTGGCCAGGGTTCAGCGGTCTTTCATAGCATTTCAGACACTTTCAGGTTCAGAGGTACCACCATATCATTTCTGAAGCCTGCACACACACACACACACACACACACACACACACACACACACACACACACACACACACACACACACCCACACACCTTTCAGGCCACAAATGAGCATATGTCATTTTTAAATGCTCGATAGACTACAACACTTAAGGTCCAACACACTACCCTAAACCCCAAC